GACGGCGTCGATCGCCGCGCTCCACGAGCTCTACGACGGGCGGTCGCGCTACCTCAAGCCCGTCGAGGGCGAGGACGGGTCCTACGCCGAGAGCGTCGAGTGCGTCTACGCGCGCATCCGGAGCGTGCTGAGCAACGTCGAGACGAGCCGCTGCGGCGAGGACGTCGTCGTCGTCGCGCCGGGCGCGGACATGGCGACGATCGCCAAGGCCATGCTCTACGGCACGGACCTGCGGGACCACTTCCGCGGGCCGCCCGTCTCCCCCGGCGCCGTCGTCCACTTCGGGGACATGGCGGCGACGGCCAAGCCCTGGGCGACGACGCGCGCGTCGACGGACCCGGGCCTCGCCTGGGCGGACCGGGAGCGCAAGGCCCTCACGGTCGCGCGCGAGGACCGCAAGAAGGCCGCGCGGGACCTCCGGCTCGCGGCCGACGACGTCGACCACGCGGTCCGCGGCGCCAAGGGCCGCGCGGCGACCGCGCGCCAGAAGGCCGCGGACGCCGCGGAGCGGCGCGAGGCCGCGGACGCGCGCGTCCTCGCGTCGGCGCAGGAGGAGGCGCTGAAGGAGGCCGAGCGCGCCGCGCGGGAGCGGCGCGCGGAAGACGCGCGGGTCCTCGCGGCGGCCAAGGAGGAGGCGCTCGTCGCGCGGCGCTCCGAGGAGCGCGCGGCGCGCGACGCCGCGGACCGGGAGAAGCGGGAGCGGCAGCGCGTCCTCTACGCCGCGAAGCAGAAGGCCGACGACGAGAAGAAGGCCGCGCAGCGCGCGGTCTACGCCGCGCGCCAGCGGGAGCAGCGCGAGCGCCAGGCGCTGTCCAAGGAGGGCGAGGGCCTCGCGTTCCTCGAGGAGGAGGGCCTCTACGCGCTCGGCGGCGTCGTCGCCGCGGGCCTGGGGCTCCAGTCCCTGGGGGAGCCCGCGTCGCCGGAGGAGCTCGAGGCGCGGCGCCGCGCCGCCGAGGCGCGCGCCGCGCGCCTCGCGGCCGTCGAGGCCGAGGACCGCGCCGCGGCCGCGCGCGAGGCCGCGGCGCGGGCCGCCGCGGCCGCGGAGCTCGAGGCGGAGCGCGCCGCGGCCGCCGCGGCGCTCCAGGACCAGCGCCGCGCCGAGGCCGCGCGCCTCAAGCTCGAGCGCGAGGCGCTGCGGCTCGCGCGCGAGGCCGAGAACGCGCGCAAGGTCGAGCGCATGGTGCCCTCGGCGAAGGAGGCCGCGCACAAGCAGCGGGTTCGCGACGAGGCGGCCGCGCGCGCCGAGCGCGAGCAGCGGGACGAGGACCGCCGCCGGGCCGCGGCGGCCGCGGCCGAGGCCGAGGCCCGGGCCGCGCTCGCGGCGACGGCCGCGGAGGCCGCGCTGCCCGACGCCGACGGCGGGCCCTGCGACCCGCTCGACGACCTCTGCAACGCCGTCTACGCCAACGAGCGCGACGACTCCTGGCTCTACGACATCCAGGGCATCCTCGCCGCGTCGGAAGACGACTAGCTCGCGCCCTAACGCACGCGGCCGTCGGCATCGTGCGTTGCCAGTGGCGCACGGACGCTCCGGGGCGGTTCACGTCGACTCCGAACACCTCCGTCGCGTTGGGTACAATAAAACACCGGCTAACTGAGGGGCGGGTGGTCGCATCGACGCGCGCGGCGGGCCGCGCTTGGGCCAAGGCCCGTGGCGTGGTCCCGGGCGTAGCCCTCGGCGTCGAGCTGCGCCTGGGTCATGAAGGCGCCCTTCTTCCAAAATCGCGAGCTCGCGTGCGTCTGGCGGCTCTCGGCATTGGGCTTCGCGACGCGGCGGCGGCCGTCGCGCGGGTCGAGCCACGCGGGGAGAGGGCCGACGGAGCGCAGGACGTCGAAGTCGCGGCGCCGCGTGTGGACCCGCGCGACCTGGCGCGGGTCCAGGGACCGGTCCCATCCCGGCTCCGGGGCGCCGTCCGCGCGCGCAGGCAGAGGCCCTCCGCGCACGCGATGCAGTCGCGGTAGTCCGTCGGCGCGGCGTTGTAGCCGCAGGTCGCGCAGGTCGCGTCGCAGGCGCAGTCCTCGTGGATGACCTCGCCCGGCGCCGAGTAGCACGTATGGGCGTCGTGGTCGTGGTCGTGGCCGTCGTGGTCGTCGTGGTGATCTTCTTCGTCCGCCGGCGGCAGGGGGCCGAACTCGGGCTCGCCGTCCACGGAGCAGCCGTAGCCCGCGACCATGTCGTCGTCGGTGAACGCGCGGGGCGCCTCGTCCGTGGGTGCGTCGCAGTACATCCAGTAGTAGGGCTCCGCGTCGATGTCGCGGTCGAGGCGGTCCTTGAGGGTCCAGTACGTGTCGCAGTAGAAGCCGTCGCCGTAGTTGTCGATGCACGCGCCGGTGAATTCGCCGCCGACGAGCGCCGCGAGCTCCGCGCAGCCGAAGCAGGCCTCGCTCGACGTCTTCGCGTCGGGGTCCAGGCCCTCGACGCAGTCCAGGTCGCCCTCCGGCTCCAGGGCGCCCTTGGCGCCGCAGTAGCCCCAGCCGTTGACGTCGTTCGCGCCGTCGGCGTCCGTGTCGTAGTGGTACTCGCACCACGGCTCCGTGTCTACGGTCCACCCGTAGTCGGCCGTGTCCGTGACCATGCACCCGTAGTAGCGGAATGGTGTGATCGAGCCGTCGTCGGCCGTGGTCTCGGTCTTGAACGGGAACGTGCACCCGCACGCGTCAACATCCTACGGAGCGGTTTGGAGGTCCCGAGTGCGGTCGCGCAGTAGGACTCCGAGTAGGAGCGGCTTTCCCGGAAGGTCGGGCGCCCCCCCCGAGCGAGCGGCTGCGCGTCCGTCGCGTCGAGAAAAAAACGACGGGTCGCGGCGGTCGTCGGACGCGTCAGGCGCGGCGGCGGCGGGCTCGGTCGACGGCTTCGGGGCCTCAGGGCGGTACGGGCTTCCGAGGGCGCCCCCGAAGGCGTCGCGGGGAATGAGGGGGCCCAGGCGATCGAGGGGGGGGGGGATCGATCACCTGGGTGCGACGAGCGTTCTGGTCCGTCATCTGCTTCTTGACGTTGTCCTTCGCCTCACGCAGGATGGAAGACGCGTCCGAAGCGACCGCGAGGGCGGCGAAGAGGATCAGCTTCAGGGCCATGGTTGCAATGTGGTAGAAACAGATGGATACGCCGGCGTCGCCCGCGGGTGTTCTCTGGAAGTGGATATACTTCAAGCCCGCGCGCGCGCGCCCACTCGTCCTCGACGAACCGCCGCGCCGCCCGGTCGTTTCGTCCTCTCCGTCGGAGCCCCGTCCCTAGGCGGGAATCCCTCGTGTACTTACTCGCCCCCTAACTCGTCTTGACGGCCTCGACGAACAGCACGAGCCTCTGGCCGCGGCACCGCGCCGGCGTGAGCTCGAATGCTGGGTCTTCGTGCGTGAGGCAGCGCGACCCGCGGTCGACGGTGATCGACGACAGGTCCCTCACCTGCGTCTGCTGGAAGCCCGCGCGGCGCCAGAGGCCCGCGTAGTCGTCGCTGCCGCTCAGGAAAGGTGCACCTCCCGGCGCGACGCCGACGTCGACGAACGAGCGCGTGATGGAGTCGTGGAAGACGGCCGAGCCGACGGCGGAGAGCTTCCCGACGGCGCGCAGGAGCGCGGCGACGTCGCCCTCTCGTAAGTAATACAGCAGCCCCTCGAGGAGCCAGACCTACCAAGCACGTCGGTGACGATTCTTTGTTTGTTCCCCCGGTCAAAATCTCTCGAAAATCGTCGCGGCCGCAGGACGCTGAGCCAGACCGTCGGCACGGACGCGTCGAAGCCGCAGTGCAGCAGCTGGTCGCTCCAGGCCGTCGGTCCCTTCGCGAAGTCCGTCCCGACGACGCGCCGCGACTCGACGGCGAGCGGCGCTCTGGCGACTAACGGCTCCTTGACGTCGAAGGTCGTCTGCTGGTCCACCTCGAAGACCGCGAGCCCGTCGAGGGTCACGGAGCGCGCGTCCGGCGGCGCGTCGGCCCCCGGAGCGAAGGCGCGGTACGCGCGCGCGTCCATGCCCGCGCCCAGGAGCACGAGCTGGCGGCAGCCCCTGCCGTAGTGCTCCACGAGGCAGTCGTCGCCGCGCCGCGTCCGCGGCACGAGGATCCAGGAGCCCATGGGCGCGCCGCGGCCCTCGGTGCCGGCGAGCTTGTGCGCCAGCGGATCCACGAAGAGCGAGTCCGGGCGCTTGGTCTCGACGTCGCGCGACGCCGCGCACATCCGTCCCGTGAAGGCGTGCTTCGTCGTCACGCGCGCCTCCTTGAGCTCGGGGAGCGTGGTGGCGAGCGACGACATGCTGAGGCGTCCCATCGTTGACCAGCTCAGGGCAGCCCCATACGCTGGCGGAAGAACGATTGTCGAGTTTCGGGGGGATGTTTCAGTTCAAGGTAGGGAGTTTTTTTTGGCTGCCCTTCGCAATGAAGCTCTCGAGCGGACTCCTGCTCGCGACGGCGGTGCAGGCCATCAAAAAAATCATCACCGTCTATCATGTGAACCCGCACGAGTTCGGCGCCATACCGGTGAACATGGACACGGGCGACGCCCAGCGTCCTCACACAACGAGAAATCGTCACCGTCCTGCTTGGTAGGCGACGCCGTCGGGGATCTCTTTTTCGACCTCGAGGAGGTGCTCATCGCACCGCTCGCCTGCGCGGACCCGGCCCACGAAGCCCACGGCTGCGCGAACCAGGAGGCCGTCGCGCCGAACCTCGTCGTCAACAAGCTGACCCTCGAAATCGACGGCGGCTTCTCCGACGCCTACGCGAAGTGCAACATCGGCGTCAACGGCACCGACGGCCACGGCAACGCGTGCGAGGACGGGACGTATTGTTGCTACTGCATGGACGAGTGGGACCGCGTCTTCCCGTGCGACGATACCGTCGGGCGCCAGAACCTCTACGACCACTACGCGTCCAATAACACGAGCGGCCGCCGCCGCGACTTCTGCCACGTCGGGAGCAAGCCGTCGGAGTGCTACGACGCGCACGTCTTGAAGAAGCTGTCGCCGGAAAAGCCCGGCTACTGGTACTCGACGCTCAAGGAGCAATACGGGAAGCACTGGCGCGTCGCGAGCGTCGAGAAGATCGTCACGCGGGAGTGTCACGTGCGCGTGTTCGGCGACATCGTCCAGGCGTCGGCGCCGGGCTGCTTCGACGCCTGCGGCGACCAGGCGCGCAACACGTCGTCGCCGTGCTGGGTCGACTGCTTCTACAAAGCCGCGCTGGGACCGGACAGCGGCAGGTACGGCGGCGCCGTCGCGGGCATGGCGATGGACGACCTCGTCGCGGCCTGGGAGAAGCCGTTCCTGCCCGAGGACCAGGGCGGCTGCCCGCCGCAGGCGGAGCTCCCGTCGCCCTGGCTCTAAAAACTCGTATTAGCCGAAGCCCGTCTTCGCGGGCTTCTTCTTCTTCTTCTTCGCCTTCTTCGCGGGCGCGGCCGGCGGCTCCATGGGCGGCATGCGGCCCGAGCGGACCTCGGGCCGCAACGCCGCGAGGATCTCCGGCGTCAGGGTCAGCGCGCCGCCGGGGCCGTACTCGGCGACCATCCTCTCGAGCTCCGGCTCGACCTTGGCGCGGTCCTCGGGCGACAGGCGGTCGATGTGGAGCACGCCCTCGATGTGGTCGTACTCGTGCTGGAAGACGCGGGCCTCGAAGCCGCTGAGCTTCTTCGTCCGCTTTTTGTTGCGCTCGTCGACGTACTCGACCCAGATGTCCAGCGACCGGCGGATGACGCCCGCGCAGTTCTCGCTCCGGCTCGAGAGGCAGCCCTCCTCCTCGTCGGCCGTCGCCTCGCCATACTTGGTGATGCGCGGGTTCACGACGATGCGCTCGTAGGGCTTCATGAGCCTGTCGCCGGTCGGGTTGTAGACGAAGAACCGCTTCCAGAGGCCGACCTGCGTCGCCGCGAGGCCGACGCCGTCGGCCTGGTACATGATGGACATCATCTCCTTGCACGTCTGCTTGAAGTCGTCGTCGAAGTCGACGATGTCCGCGCAGGGCCCGCGCAGCACCGGCATGGGGTACTCCGTGATGGTCAGGTCCGAGCCGTCGAACTTTTCCGGATTGAGGCGCATCGCGCACGCCGGCCGGGCGTGGCGCCGCGCGAGTCGTGGCGGCCGCCGGACGACGAGGCCCTGCGCGCAGAGGGCGAGCAGGCCGCTCAGCCTCAGGAGCGGTCGAGATGACGACGCCATCGCCTCACCCCTCAACGTCAACGAGGGGCAAGCGACGTTCAACATGTGAGGCTTCCGGCGCCCCAGTGCCCGCGCCCGATCAAGGTAGGCGCGTAGGCGTGGTGTGCGAGAGAGAGAGGTCCCCGGGCGGTGCGAACTTAGGCGGCGCGCGTGTGCGCGACGGCTCGGAGGCCGGGCGTGTCCGCCTTGGGCTCGGCGGCCTCCGCGTGGAGCGGCGAGACCGCGCCCTGGACCCCGGCGGCGTCCTGGAGCGGCGTCGCCGCGTCCGGCGGGGCCTCGGCGTCGTCGCGCGGCGGGCGCGGCGCCGGCTCCGCGCGCCGGGGCGCGATGCCCTCGAGCTCGACGTCCCCGCGCGCGTCGTGGTCCTTCGCGCGGCGACGGCGGTAGCAGGCCACGGCGGCGGCGACGAGCACCACCGCGAGCACGTGGATGATGATGAGAACCTCCACCTTCGCGACGGCCTCGCCGACCGGAAGCTTCGACGACTTCTTCGAGGACGAAGCGGACTCGTCGACGACGTGGGGAGCGGCGCAGGCGCAGGAGAAGCAGATGCCCGCGGCCGCGCAGGTCCCGTGGCTCGGCGACGGGCACGCCGCGAGGCACTCGACGTCGCCCTCGTTGGCGCCGCTGCGGTCCGCGTGACGTCGTCGGGCGAGTTCGAAGCGAACGTCGTCGAGCTCACGTAGATAGATGCCTTGTCCTCCACCCAGATGCCGCCGCCTTCGGTCAACGCGCCGTTCGCGCGGAAGTCGCAGCGCAGGAGCGACGCGAAGCCGTCGTCGACCCGCAGCGCGCCGCCGCGGCCCTCCGTGGCCTCGTTGTCGCGGAAGACGACGTCGGTGAGCGTCGCGGTGCCGGCGACGAAGACCGCGCCGGATTCCGCCGCGACGTTGTAGAGGAACGTCGACTCCGTCGCCGCGAACGTCGTCGCGGCGGCCGCGCCGTCGTCGTCGCCCGATACGGCGTCGAGGACGTAGAACGCGCCTCCCTCCTCCGACGCGCGATTCTCCTCGAAGACGGAGTGGACGACGTCGACCGTCGCGTGCGCCGCGTAGACGGCGCCGCCGTGCCGCGCCCTCGACCGGAAGATCTCCACGTCGACGAGGGAGAGCGATGCGCCCAGGCCCGCGTAGATCGAACCGCCCCGGCACTCGTGGTTGAGGCCGTGCTGGTGGGAGTGGCCGCAGGAATCCGCGTCCGCGAAACCGTTCGTGAGCGTGACGCCGTGGAGCGTGAGCGCGCCGTCGACGTGGAAGTGCTGGATCGCGTTGGCCGCGTCGAGCGAGCGCCGATGGGGGTAGGGCGATTCGATCGTGACGGCGGCGCCGCCGGGAATCACGAGCGTGCGTTGGAAGGTGATACCCGCGTCGATTTTGATATGGGCGCCGTCGCCGATCGCCGCCTCGAGCTCGGCGAAGGTGGAGACTCTTGTTTCCGCTGAAGCGCAGAAACTTAGCGTGGCGACGAACAAGGCGCGGGCGCGCATGGTGGTGCCGTCGTATAGCCTACGGGGTGCGAGAGGTGCGGCTGCAAGGAGGAGGACCTGGTGCAATCGAGTCCTGTGGACGTCTTTGGCGAGCGCGGCTCTAGCGCGCGGTGCTCCCTCGAGTGCCTCTGCCCCCCCCTGTCGCAAGGAAGCGCTCAGAGTCATGTCGTGGCGGGAGAAGAAGTTGGAGTATGAGACTCGCATGGCCCGAGCGAAGGGCAAAAAACTCGACACTCTCAAGACCTGCACGATCTGCGGCGCCGACAAGGCCAAGGCCTGCCAAGGGTGCGGCACGACGGCCTACTGTTCGACGGACTGCCAACGCATCGACTGGCGCGACCGGGGCCACCGGAAGGTCTGCAAGAAGATCCAGGCCGCGGAGGCGGCGCGGGCGGAAGCGCCGACGCGCGCGCCGTCGCCGCCGGTGTTCTACGGCCCCGCGCCTCGGTCGCACGCCGACGAGGTCCGCGCGCGCATCGCGGCGGAACACGAGGCGGCCCGTGCGCGGCGCGAGGAGAACCCAGAGCGGGAGCCGACGTCGGCACGGCTCGGGTCGCGGTGCCCGATCTGTCTCGAGGAGTGGGACGTGAATATTGCGGGCGTGTTTCGCGTCTGTTGCTGCCGGATGGTCTGCAGGTCGTGCAGTGACAAGATCGGCTTCGGCGCGTGTCCCCTCTGTCCTGTACCGCACCCAGAAACCGATGCGGAGCAGCTCGCGTGTCTGCGCCGCCACGTGGAGAACGAAGTGCCGGAAGCGATTAGGTTTTTGGGACTTGCGTACCGCCGCAGTTGGATGGGCATCGTGAAATCCGATAAGAAAGCCGCGAAGATTTACCGGCGCGCTGTGGAGCTCGGGGACGTGGGCGCGATGACACTTCTTGGGAAAATGTACGAGAAGGGGTTGGGCGTCAAGCTGGACAAGAAGAAGGCGGAGCGGCTGATTCGCGACGCCGCAGATCGGGGCGACGCGTCCGCGCAAGCCAGTTTAGGGTTTTTACTCAATTCTGAGCAGAGATTTGAAGAAGCATTCCGCTACTATGCGCTCGCGGCGGATCAGGGCTTTACCATTGCAGAGCATAACCTTGGCAACTGGTACAGGCACGGAAGAGGCACGGAAATAACTGTCGACCTCGACAAAGCCAGATACTGGTTCGAGCGCGCCGCTGCCAAGGGCTTCGAGGATGCTATAGAGGCCCTTGCGGGCCTCGACGCGCGAGCATAGCCTAAGTTTTTTCGCCGCGTCGTCGCCCCGAGCCCGAGATGCTGCGCTTGCGCGCGGGCGAGTCGTGCTTGGCGTTGGCGTCGCCGCCGCGTTCCTCTCCGCGTCGACCTTCGCGTGCCTGGCGTTCCTGAACGCCAAGCCCGCCGAGCGCAAGGACGACGACGCCGCCGAGGGGGGCATGGAGAACGACATGAACGCGATGCTCTCGGGGTGGGCTTAGCCCTGGGCAAAGTTTTGAGCGATTTTGCTTAGCCGCGGCGCAGGGAAGAACCGAAGGGGGAGCGATTTTGCTTAGCCGCGGCGCAGGGAAGGACCGAAGGGGGAGAGAACAGCGAATTTGCCATTGCCGATATTGCCGATCGAGCCCGAGTCGACGCACGAGCTCTCCTCGCCTCGAGTTGTGCTCCAGGCCGCGAGGTAGGAGCCCCTCGGCCACGAGGCGCATTTCAAGAAGTCGACGCCGACCCGGAACATGGGCGCCTACGACGAAAGCCATGACGGCGCCTATACGTTCACGAAGAAGCAACTCTATATCGGCGGCATCGCGATCGTGCTCAGCTCCGTATTCGTTTTGGGATTCTCGAACGGCGATCTGGCCTGCAAGAACCCGCTCGACTTCGACATCGGCGCCTACCGGGAAGCGGCCCTCGCGAACACGCCGCCGAACATCATCGAGTGCGCGGGCGCCGAGGCCGGCGGGTCCCAGGAGCTCTGCCACCTCCCGCGGAAGAAACGCTACGGCGCCATCGGGCAAAAGGGCATCACGCTCTGGATGACGGGCCTCAGCGGGTCGGGCAAGTCGACGATCGCGGGCGCGCTCGAGGCGCGGCTCGTCCTCGAGCACGGCAAGGTCGTCCAGATGCTCGACGGGGACAACGTGCGCACGGGCCTCAACCGCGACCTCGGCTTCTCGCCCGCGGACCGCGCGGAGAGCGTCCGCCGCGTCGGCGAGCTCGCGTGCCTCTTCAACGCCGGCGGCGTCATCACGCTCGTGACGCTCGTGTCGCCCTACCGCGCGGACCGCGACGCGGCCAAGGCGCGCCACGGCGACATGGGCCTCAAGTTCCTCGAGGTCTACATGAACGTCAACATCGACGTCGTCCAGGCGCGCGACCCCAAGGGCCTCTACGCCAAGGTCAAGGCCGGCGAGATCACGTCCTTCACGGGCATGTCCGACGACGCGCCCTACGAGAAGCCCCTGCACCCGGACGTCGACCTCCCGAACAACGAGATGACCATCGACGAGTCCGTCGACATGCTCATGGGTATCCTCATCGACGAGGGCGTCCTCGTCGGGAACTAGCATAACTCCAGCTCGGGGAACGCCGCATCTCCGTCGACCCACGCGCCGCGGTCGCGGCACGAGTCCACGAGCGCGCGCCAGTGCCGGGAGTTCGACAGCGTCGCCGCGTCGCCGACGAGGACGAGGCCGCGCTTCGCGCGCGTGATGGCCACGTTCAGGCGCCGCGGATCGCGCAGAAAGCCGAGGTCCCCGCGCGGGTTCGACCGCGTCGCCGTAAAAACCACGAGCTGCGTCTCCTGCCCCTGGAAGGCGTCGACCGTGCCGACGCGGACGTCGTAGACGCCGCGCCGCGCGAGCGCGCCGCGCACGGCGTCGCACTGGCGGTTGTAGGGCGAGATCACGACCAGATCGCGGGGCCCGAGCTCGCCCGCCTCGAGGACGCCCGCGACGACCGCCGCGACGAGCTCGGCCTCGCGCGCGTTCGTCACGCCGCCGGACGCGCGCTTCGTCTCCTCCGCCCTCACGTCGACGAAGGCGAGCGGCAGGCCGCCCGGCCAGGGGAAGCCCGCGGGCGGCGCCTCGCCCTCGCGGCGGTCGTCGGCGCAGGCGACGAGGCCCTCGTAGAAGTAGTTCGACGGGTGCTCGACGAGCGCCGGCGGCATGCGGTACTGGACCTACCAAGTGCGACGGGGTCGGATTTCTTCACATCTTCAGGCGAAATTCACGAGAAAAAGCACTCCTGTCGCTCGACGCCGTATACTGGACCCGGAGCGTCTTCAGCGGCAGCCCCGCGGCCTCGAGCCGCTGCCTACCAAGCATGACGGTGACGATTTCTCATTGTTTTCCCACTCCAAATCTCTCGAAAATCGTCACGGCCACAGGACGCTGGCCGCGGACATGGGCGACGTCGCGAGCGCCCGCCGGAGCGCCGCGTCCTCGGAGACGACCGTCGGCGGCAGCTGCTTCGTGTCGCCGACGAAGACGATCTGGTCCGCCTTGGCCGCGGCCAAAGCGCAGAGGACCGCGGGCTCCGTCGTCTGCGCGGCCTCGTCGACGACGACCAAAGAGAACTCGCCCGACGACGCCTCGATGAGCTGGTGCGCGCCGACGCCTACGAAGTGCTACCGTGACGATTTTGCATCGTTCCTGCGGTCCAAATCTCTCGAAAATCGTCACGGTTGCAGGACGCCGGCCGACGCAGGACGCGACGACCACCGGCGCGTTGCGCGAGAGCGCCTCGCGGACCTCGTCGACGACCTTTCGCGCGTCCGCGGCGGCCGCGGAGCGCACGTGCGGCTTGAGCGTCGCGTTCCGCGCGCGTTCCCGGAGCGCGGACACCTCGGGGTGCCGCTCGGCGAGGGCCACGACCGTGTGGCGCCGCGCCTCCGGCGCGACGGACGCCGGCCGGCCCGCGCGGATCGCGGGGACGCCCACGGCGACGAGCGCCGCGAGCAAAACGTCCGCGGCGCCGTTCGAGTGGCACACCGCCAGGACGCGCGGCGCCGCGCCGCCGTCGCCGAGGCGCAGCGCCGAGGAGACGAGGAGGCTCGCGCAGCGCGTCTTGCCCGTGCCCGGCGGCCCGCGGATCAGCGACACGCTGCGCGCGAGCGCCCAGGCGATCGCGTCCTCCTGGGACGCGTTCGGCTCGAAGCCGCCCGCGTCGTCCTTGGCGCCGCCGATCGCGTTCAGCGCGGCGATCTCGAGCGACGGCGCGGTCACGCCGCCGGGGACGCCGGCGAACTCGAGCCGCGCGCCGTCGCGGAAGCGGGCCGGCGGCGCGTCGAGCGCCTCCGCGGACCCGCCGAACGTCCGCGCGAGGAGCGCGGCGGCCTCGCCCGCCGCGCCCGCGGCGACGCGCGCGAGGGCGTCGCGCTGCGCCTCGAGGGGCGCGCGCGGCGCGGCGCGGTCGAGGCGCACGGCGCAGGACCCCGGCCGCCGCCGCGACTCCCAGACGCCTTTCGGCCACCGCGCGCCGGCGCCGACGGCGAGCCAGTCGGCGCCCGCGTCGACGACGACGACGTCGCGCGGGAGGAACTGGCGGTCGCGCGGCGCGCGGTCCTCGGGGCTCAGCAGCAGCACGTCGCCGCGGCGGAACCGGTCGCGCAGCCGGCCGTCGCGGCCGCTCCGCCGCGTCACGCGCACGATCTTGTCGCCGAAGAGCTCCGTCTCCGGCGTCGCCGCGCCGAAGACCGAGTCGCCGCTGTCCTCGAGCCGCTTCCGCGACCACGTCTGGCGCCGCGACCGCAGCTCCGCGGCGGCCTCGCGGTACTCCTTCAGCAGCAGCTCGTCCCAGTAGCTCGCGTAGGCGTCCTCGCGCGCGTGCAAGCGCGTGGCGCGGCGCAGCGACGGCCGCGTTTGCAATGGCTGCGATTGCTGCAGGAGCGCGCTGAGCAGGATTGCGAGCCTCATCGTTTGTGGTGGCTGCAGAGCTGCCGCGTCAGGTCCATTGCGGCCTCACAGCCTGAGGTTGGGCAATGTTGACAGCATCGTCGTCTCAACCGCGCTGTTGCAGTTTCAATTCCTGTTTGAGAGGGGCCTGGCCGGCGGTCTTAGGCAGTGTTCCTTTCCCAGCGCCTAAGCGGAGGTGGGCGCAGTTTCGGAGCAGCGATAGATGCGCCCGGCGTCAAGGAAGCTGCGCCCCACTTTTAGTACTCGGACCGCGCGATGGCGCGCTTGAGGTAGTCGGGCACCGGCGGCGGCGTCTTGATGGTGAGGAGGACCGTGTCCGGCGACGCCGGTCGGAGGTCCTTGGAGAAGAGGGTCGTGCCCCAGACCCCCCACGTCGCGGCGAGCTGCTCCTCGGTCGACAGCGCGCCGGCCTTGTAGAACTCGGCGTCGTCGACCTGGCCGTCGCCGTTCGCGTCCGCGGCCACGAGGCTCGCAAGCGCGTTGCGCGCTTTCTCCACATCCTTGCGCGGCGCGCGCGCGAGGAAGTCGCCGAGCTGGTCCGACGCGGCGCGGAGGTCCTTGGCCGCCGACGACGGGAACTCGGACGCCAACGTCTTCCTCGCCGCGTCGAGCGCGCGCGCGGCGAGGACCATGTCGCTCACGCGCGCGTTCTTGTCCTGCTCGACGAGCTTCTTGTCGAAGTCGTCGTAGACTAACGATGTGGCGTACTTCGTGCCGACGCCAAGGTAGAAGTTCTTGCTGCTCAATATGCCGCCCTTGTTGAGCAGCTCGAGGGCCGACGCGACGGACGACGTCGATTTCGCGCCGACGTCGACGGTCCAGCGCGCCACGGCCGCATCGAGCTCGACGATGGGTATGAGCAAGGTCCAGCTCGGCGCGACGGCGCTCGGAATCTCGAGCTCCGCGGCCGCTGCGATGCGCGGCGCCGCAACCGTGGCGGCGGTGGCGCCGAGGAAATTGCGGCGCGGCAGTTGCAGCGCGGTCGCGCCGGCGCCGAGCGCTGCGATTTGCATCACCTGCAGCGCGGTAGCGCTTGCACAAAGCACCGCGATCTGCGGTAAAAGCAAGCCCATGCTCTCGAAAACTGCAATGCGACATCAACGAGAGCCCGACGCCGGCCTCGACGCCGCCGCTGGCGCCGTGCGGACGCCACTAGAGCCCGCCGCTGCAGCTCTCGCATCGCTGGGACACCCTCGAGCATCGCTATCAACGAGCCCGCCGCTGCAGCTCTCGCATCTTCGAGCATCGCTATCATGCGGCGCTTCCTGCTGCTCCTGGTCGCTACGTCCGCGCTCGCCTTCGCGCCGCCGCCCTACCGACAACGCGCCTCCCTGCGCGTCTACAAGAACCCCTTTGACGAGATCCTCGACGCGCTCGACACGATGGTCGGCGTGTCGCCGCTGTCCGAGGCCGACCTCAAAGACGGCGACGCGGACCTCGCGGCGCGCGCCGAGGCCAAGCAGTCCGTCGCGCCGCCGGGGGACGCCCTCGAGAAGGACAGCGTCGCCGTCTTCTTCGCGCTCCTCGGCGCGTTCCCCATCGCGATCATGATCGCGGGGCTCGCCGGCGGCGCGCGGCCCTTTGGCTTGTAGTGGTAACTTCCCCGATCGGACCCGTGCGGAGAACCTGCTCGAGAGAATGGCGGAACTTCGTGCGCCAGCCTGGTGCGGGCATATGACAAACCCGATACAGAGACTGGAGAGTAACGAGCGCGCGCGGCGCCTCCCCGCGGGGGACGAACGCGCGGGACGACCGCGGGGCCGCCGCGCGCGCCGGTGGGCCGCCACCGCGGCGCCTAGGCGCCCGAGAGGAGTGCGGTGACGGCCTCGTTCTCGTCGCCCTTGGCGTCCGCGAGGGCCTTGACGACCTGCTCGCGCGAGAACCCCATCTCGACGAGGCGCGCGACGGCCGCGTCCTCGGCGCCGGCCTCCTTTGGGCGCGCGTAGGTCTCGGTCCAGAACTTGGCCGTCTGTTTAAAGGTGTCGGGCTCGTTGAGGTACATCTGCGCGACCTGCGCGTCCTGCGGGTCGTCCGGCTCGGGCGAGCACAGCAGCGCCTGGAGGCTCAGGAGCGCCGTCTTGATCGTCAGCGCCGGCGACCACTGGTCCTTGAGGATGTCGAGGCAGATAGCGCCCGTCTGCGACGAGATGTTCGGGTGCCAGATTTTCGTGAGGAACCTAGAGAAAGAGCGCGTCGACGGAGCCGACGGCCGCGCGCGCGCGCGGAAGCCAGGGGGGGCGCCGGCGGACGCGCTTCATCTTCGGCGGCTCGAAGGGGTAGCCCGACGGGATCGTGATGCCGATCTGGTACGTGCCTAGGGAGAACGGGGTCAACGGCGCATCGGCCGCGGCGGCGGTTTCGGCGCGGCCGCGCGCCGCCCTCGTAGGGCGTGCCCTCGGGCCCCGTGATGACGCCCTCGAGCTCCATCATGTCCGACGACTTCACCTCCACCGTGACGCCCGACTTCGTATCGCGCGTGAGCTCGGTCAGCTCCTTCTTGAGCCGCCCTCGGTCGAAGGCCATGGCTGCGCACCGGGCTCGCGGGCTCCCCGCGGCGTGGGGTCGCCCGGCGGCGCGCTCCGAGACGACGAGGGGTGCGTGGGGTCACCTCGGCGGCGCGCTCCGAGACGACGAGGGGCACACTAGGCTGCTGCTGCCACAAAAGCGCCTTGCTTGTGGCAAAGACGGCGCAAACCTCAAGCAATGGACGCGGGCGAGGCAGCCTCGAGAGGCTCTGGTGGTGCCGCCGCGCAGGTTCAGTCCCGAAGCGGCGCGCCGCGGGCGTGCCCGAAAGCGACGCGCGACAAGGAGGCGGCGCCCGCGCCCAGCGGCGACGGCGACGACGCGGACGGCGGCGCCATGTCGAAGCGCACCTGCCAGCTCGTCGAGACGTCGAGCGCCGCGGGCGGGAAGCGCATCAAGGAGGTCGTCTTCGGCCTGCTGTCGCCGGAGGAGATGGAGAGCCTCGCGGAGTTCGAGTGCAACAACCGCGAGCTCTACACGCTGCCGAGCCGCAAGCCCGCGCCGAACGGCTGCCTCGACCTCCGGCTCGGAGCGGCGAACAAGCAGACCGCGTGCGCGACGTGCCACAAGCGGGTCGACCAGCGCGGCGCCGGCGTCCTCTCTGAGACCGACGACGCTTTTTGTCGCGACTCCTTTCTTTCCATCCCATAGGTGCGCGGGCCACTTCGGCGTCGTCCGCCTCGAGCTGCCCGTGTTCCACGTCGGCTACTTCAAGCACGTGCTCACGATCCTGCAGTGCGTCTGCAAGGAGTGCTCGCGGGCCCTCGTGCACCCCCAGGAGCGGACGACGCTCCTGCGGCGCATGCGGGACCCGCGCGCGGACGCGCTCCGAAAACAGGCGCTCTACAAGCGCGTCGTCGGCCGCGGCGCCGCGTGCGACGTCGCTTCGACGCGAGCGTGGCGCGCGCGCGCGTTCCGGGAAACGGCGTCGAGCGCGCTCCGAGCGACGATCGCCCGTCCACGCATGGGCCGAAACGAGTTGAAAACGGCCGAGCGCGGCGCCTTTGGGAGTTCGCGCGCTCGTCCCGCGCAGGTCGACCGCTGCAAGGCCGCGTCCAAGTGCCCCTACTGCGGCGCGCGCAACGGCCCCGTGCGCAAGGTCGCCGGGGCCGGGGCCCTGAAGCTGTCCCACGAGAAGTGGCGCGGCGTGAAGCGCGAGGACCTGCTCGACGACGACGAGTTCTCGGCGTACGCGGAGTCGTTGGAGTCGGCGCTCGGCGCGTCCGCGGACCTGCGCAACGCCCTGGGCTGCGGCGGCGACACGGAGAAGAAGCGGCGCCTCGAGGCCGAGGAGAAGAGCGTGCCGACGTCGGCGACGGCGACGAAGGCGCCGCCGACGGTGCTGTCGCCGGTGGACGTCCGCGCGATCCTCGAGAAGATCAGCGACGACGACTGCGACCTGCTCTGGATCGACCCGCGCGTGGGCCGGCCGGAGAATTTGGTCCTCAAGACGCTCCTCGTCCCGCCGACGCCCATCCGGCCGAGCGTCGCCGTCGACTCGCCCGGCGGCGGCGGCAGCAACGAGGACGACCTCACGATCAAGCTCCAGGAGATCATCGACGTCAACAGCGCGCTGCGCCAGGCCATCCGCAAGGGCGGGTCCATGAAGATGATCGTCGAGGGCTGGAACTTCCTCCAGGTCCAGGTCGCGCTCTACCTCAACGGCGAGGTGCCGGGCCTCCAGCCGCGGAACGCGCCCGCGGCGAAGCCGATCCGCGGCCTCTGCCAGCGCCTCAAGGGCAAGAGCGGCCGCTTCCGGGGCAACCTGAGCGGCAAGCGCGTCGACTTCTCCGCGCGCACGGTCATCTCGCCGGACCCGAACTTGCGCGTGGACCAGGTCGGCGTGCCGCAGGAGGTCGCGAAGATCATGACGTACCCGGAGAAGGTGAACGCGCTGAACCTGGAGAAGCTCCAGAAGCTCGTCGTCGCCGGCCAGAAGCAGTGGCCCGGCGCCAACTACGTCGAGATCGCGAACCACGACGACCCGGGCGCCGGCGACCGGCCGCCCTTCAAGAAGAGCCTGCTCTACGGCGACCGCGCGCGCATCGCCAAGGAGCTCCGCGTCGGCGACGTCGTCGAGCGCCACATGCAGGACGGCGACGTCGTCCTCTTCAACCGCCAGCCCTCGCTCCACAAGCTCTCCATCATGTCCCACGAGGTCAAGGTCATGCCCTGGCGCACGTTCCGCTTCAACGAGTGCGTCTCTGTGTGGAAACCAACCACTGGTTTGGGTGGTCCTGACCAAACTTGAGAATTCTCTAGCTCGGTCAAATCGAAGTCGATTCGGCTGATTTTTGGACGGATCGATCGCTCTCGTCGAGTTCTCGAAGCACAGCCGAAGAGCTTGCGTCGAAACTGTCGCATATGCGCACATTGAAGTCGGGTTGAAGATTTGAATTCCACACAGGTGCGTCTGCGCGCCGTACAACGCCGACTTCGACGGCGACGAGATGAACATGCACCTGCCGCAGACCGAGGAGGCGCGCGCCGAGGCGTCGGCGCTCATGAACGTGGCGACGAACATCTGCACGCCGCGCAACGGCGAGCCGTTGGTGGCCGCGACGCAGGACTTCGTGACCGCGTCGTTCCTCGTGACGCAGCGCGACGTCTTCTTCGACCGCGACGCCTTCTGCGCTCTGGCGGCCTACGTGGGCGACGCTTTAGAGCGCGTCGACGTGCCGCCGCCGGCGATCCTCAAGCCCGTGCGGCTCTGGACGGGCAAGCAGCTCTTCTCGTTGATCGTGCGGCCGACGGTCGCGGCGAAGCCCGAAAACGGCGGCGCGTGGCCCTGCGTGTCCTTCGAGTGCGCCGAGCGCAACTACACGGGCTCGGGCATCGAGACCATGTGCCCCATGGACGGCTACGTGCTCTTCCGGCGGTCGTCGCTGCTCTGCGGCAACATCGCGAAGAAGACCGTCGGCGACGGCTCGAAGAAGGGCCTCGTCTACGAGCTGTACCGCGAGCACGGCCCCGCGGCGGCGGCGACGTTCATGAACCGCCTCGCGAAGCTGTCGGCGCGCTACCTCGGCTACCACAAGGGCTTCTCCATCGGCATCGACGACGTGACGCCGTCCGACGCCGTCCTCGCGCTCAAGGCGCAGCTCCTCGAGGAGGGCCACGCGGAGGCGCGGCGCAAGATCGAGGCCTACGAGTCCGGGTCCCTCGCGCTCCAGCCGGGCTGCGACGCGCTCCAGTCCCTCGAGGCGGAGCTCACGGGCCTCCTGGGCAAGGTCCGGGAGCAGGCGGGCAAGAACCTCATGACGCGCGACCTCCCGCGGTCGAACTCGCCCCGGATCATGGCCGAGTGCGGCTCCAAGGGGTCGGCGATCAACGTGTCCCAGATGATCGCCTGCCTCGGCCAGCAGGCCGTCGACGGCAAGCGCATCCAGAACGGCTTCGTGCAGCGGACGCTGCCGCACTTCGAGGTCGGCGAGCTGAGCCCCGGCGCGCGCGGCTTCGTCGCCAACTCCTTCTACAGCGGGCTGACGGCGACGGAGTTCTTCTTCCACACCATGGGCGGCCGCGAGGGTCTGGTGGACACGGCCGTGAAGACGGCGCAGACGGGCTACATGGCGCGGCGGCTCATGAAGGCGCTCGAGGACCTGTCCGTGGGCTACGACGGCACGGTGCGGAACTCGGAGAAGAACATCGTCCAGTTCACCTACGGCGACGACGGCCTGGACCCCGTGAAGATGGAGACGGGCGACTCCATGCCCGTGGACTTCGGCCGGCTGCTGCACCGCGTGCGCCACGACGACGCCGCGCTCTCGTCGCGGGCGCCGCGCGACCTCGACGCCGCGGCCGTCGCGGCCGTCGCCGAGGCCTGCGGCGCCGGCGACGCCGGGCCCTTCGGGCGGCTGGGGCCCCTCGCCGCCAAGTTCCGCGGCGACGCGGCGGGCTTCCTGCGGGACCTGAGCGAGCGCATGGCCGACCGCGAGCTCCAGATGAAGGACCACTGCGGCGACGCGGCGCTCGCGCGGCTCTTCGACGACGTCGCCCTGTCCCAGGGCGACCTCGACCGCTTCCAGGCCGGCGCCCTCGACAAGTACACGCGCGGCGTCGTCGAGCCGGGCGAGGCCGTCGGCGCGATCGGCGCGCAGTGCATCTCGGAGCCGGGCACGCAGATGACGCTCAAGACGTTCCACTTCGCGGGCGTCGCGTCCATGAACGTCACCCTGGGCGTGCCGCGGCTCACGGAGATTATTAATGCCTCCAAGAACATCTCGACGCCCATCATCACGGCGCACCTCGACAATCCTTCCTCCACGACGGCCGCGCGCGTCGTGAAGGCGCGTCTGGAGAAGACGACGCTCGGCGAGATCTGCAAGTCCATGAAGGAGGTCTACGGGCCCCGGTCCTGCTACGTGTCCGTCGAGCTCGACGCGACGCTCATCGCCGACCTGCACCTGGACGTGGACGCCGCGGCCGCGCGGAAGCGCGTGCTGCAGGCGGTCATGGCGTCGGGCCGCGCGCCGCCGGTGATCCGCGCGCTCAAGAACGAGCACGTGCTTTTGAACCCGAACCACCGCAACGTCTTCCGGGTGGAGCTGCCCGACGACGACGCGACGCGGTCCTTCGCGGGCGGCGGCGGCGCGCTCCGGGGCGCGAAGAAGCCGCCGGGCCCGCCCGCGCGCGGCGCGCGCGGCAAGAAGGCCAAGAAGGCCAAGCCCCGCGACGACTCCGACGAGGACGTCGACCCCGTGGACCAGCGCGACATGCTCAGCGACGACCGCACCTACTTCGCCATGCAGGCGCTGAAATCGGCGCTGCCGTCGATCGTCGTCGGCGGCGTGTCGTCGATCAACCGCGCGGTCGTCAACGAGGACGAGGGGTCGTCGCCGGCGACCTACCACCTGCTCGTGGAGGGCTACGGGCTGGCGGACGTCATGGGCACGCCGGGCGTCGACGGCCGGCGGACGACGACGAACCACGTCGCGGAGATCGAGGCGGTTTTGGGCATCGAGGCTGCGCGGTCGACGATCGCCAACGAGATCACCTACATCATGTCGGCCTACGGCATCGGCATCGACGCGCGCCACCTCATGCTCCTCAGCGACGTCATGACCTTCAAGGGCGTCGTCCTCGGCATCACGCGCTTCGGCGTGTCGAAGATGCGCGAGAGCGTGCTCATGCTGGCGTCCTTCGAGCGGACGACGGACCACCTCTTCGACGCCGCGGCCCACGGCCGCCGCGACAACATCGTCGGCGTGTCCGAGTGCATCATCATGGGCATCCCCATCCCGCTGGGCTGCGGCTCCTTCAAGCTCCTCCGCGACACCGACGCGGAGCAGGGCGACGACGACGGCGCGCCGAAGCGGAGGCCGCTCATCATGGCGTCCTGAGTAAGGTTGTTATGGTCGTCTTACTCGCAGCTACGTTTCCGTGGCGGGCGTCGGGGCCGCCGAGGCCGTGGCAGCGGCTGGACATCTTTCATCCCAGGCAGCCAGGAGCCGCTCAAGAACGCTCGAGTGGGCCATGATGCTCTGTGCCGGGAGGGTGTCCTTCGCCGCCAGGAACTCGTCAAGCGTGCCCCGGAACTCCGCTGCCACCATGTGCGTTCGGGCGCAGTCCTCGCAGCTCTGGCGGGACCTTGCATTCAAATCGTTTCCAGGCATCGAGAGGGCGCGCGCGAGGAACGGGAGACCGCTGTCGACCTGGCCGATGGCACTACATACATTGAAGAACTCCACTCCGGCGGTGGCGCAGCCTTCGTATAGCGAAAGCTCGAAAAATCCCATCGCGAGATCGGGCACCATCGGGACGCCTTCCTCGCCCTTGAGGAAATATTTGCCAAGCCAATAGAGAGCTTCGCTCACGTGTCGGCCCGTCGGCTTCGCGGCGAGCAGGTTGCGCAGCACCAGGGCCTTGCGCCCTGCTTCGGCGCCGTCTTCAGATCCGCACCCCGGGCAGTACCCGGGAAACTGACACGTCTCGCAGGCAAAGAATCCACACTCGAAGCACATCACGTGGTTTCCATCGGTGTCCGCGCGCTCCATGCAGAGCGGACACGGGTGTTTCGTCCCGCACACCTTTTTGTGTTTCGACCAATGCGCCCGCTGGCACTCACGTCCGCAGTACCGCGCCCAGGCGCTTGTGCACCGCGCGCACCGCTTGCATTTGTCCGCACTGACAACACGGCAGTTCGTGCACGCATTCAGTTTCTTCCCTCGAGCCAGTGTTTCCCGTTGAGTCTCCCAATGACCGCGGTCTTTCATCAGAGGCACCACCCTCGATGTCATGCCATTCTCGTCGAACGTGCGGATCATCGCGACCTCCCGCACGCCGGACAGAGCGTCGCCACTATGGCTGCCCCAAAGGCAACATGGTATGCAAGATGACTGCAACCAGCGCCAGCGCAGCCCGGCGAGATTACACTATTGCTCGCTGCCCGAACATGGCCGCATTGCTCGACCGCATCCTCTGCGCGCTCGGGAGCCGAGAGCTCCCGGAGCCGGTCCACGCGACGCTCGTGCCGGAGAAAGAGGGCCAGCCCGAGCCCGCGGCGAAGCTCATCCCGGAGCCCACGAAGAGCGTCGAGGAGACGAAGGAGGCGCCCGAGGCACGGCCCGAGCCCGAGGAGGCGCCGGGGTCGCCGAACGAGTCCTTCGCGGAGACCGAGGCCGTGCCCGAGGAGGTGGCCGAGGCGCCCGTCGCCGCCGCGCCGGAGCTTGCACGGAGTCATCAAGAAGCGGTCCACGAGCCGGGGCCCGCAGTAGGGCGCGACCGTCCCTTAACCTAACTTCAACACAAGCGGAGTAACGCGGGAACGATCGAAGCGCGGGGTGGGGTGCTCTCAGCGACGCCTGCTCGCGTCGGAGGCCGGCGCCTGCAACTTCGCCTTGAGCCGCGAGGCGTACTTGCGCTGCGTCGGGTCCTTTGCGGCCGCGCCGTCCTGGAGCGCCTCGTCGAGGTAGCTCCGCAGGGGCTGGGCCGTGAGCGTCGACCGGACGGCCGTCCACGCGGCGAGCGTGCCTGCGCGCGACGCGACGGTCGAGCGAGGTTTCCGCGGAAGGGACGCGGGCGGACGCGCCGAGCGAGAAGAGCGCGATGCGGCGCGGCGCCGCGGCCGGGTCCGCGCGCGCGGCCTTGAGCAGGGCGTTGGGCGCGCCGTGGTCCACGAGGTGCCTCGCGAGCTGCCCGCCGTTGCGCGCGAGGTTGCCCAGCGCGCCCGCGGCGTTCGCGCGCGTCTTCTCGTCGTCGTCGCCGCGGAGCGCCGCGACGAGCGGCGCGACGGCGGGCGCGAGGTCGGCGTAGAGCGCGGCGCTGTGGAAGGCGGCGTTGCCCAGGGCGAAGCAGGCGAACTTGCGCGTCGCCGCGTCGCCGTCGGACGCCGCGCGGACGACGGCCGCGAGCGACGACTGCCCCGGCGACCCGACGGCGAGCGCGCCGTAGAAGCTCGCGCTGTGGCGGCAGAGGTTGCCGACGAGGTTGCAGGCCTTGGAGCGCACGGCGGCGTCGGCGTGGTCCAGGAGCTTCGGGAGAAACCGCTCGAGCTTCGCGCGCGCGAGCGCCGCGGCGCACGCGCTGCCCTCGGCGTCCGCGGCGCCGTCGCGGCCGTCGCCGCAGGCCGCGGACCGCGCGAGCTGGGACGCGACCAAGAGCGCGTTGACGACGGCGCGCGGCGGCGCGCCGGGGGCGAAGGCGCCCGCGCGCGCGAGCGCCGCGACGGCGTCGCCGCGCGCGCACTCGCCCGCGAGCGGCGACCCGACGAGCGCGATGCGGCTCAGGAGCTCCGCGGCGCTCGATAGGGCGTGGTCGTCCAGCCGCTTCGCGAGCTTGGGCTCGTCGCAGGCGCCCGTGCGGCCCACGGTCCGCGCGAGCGCCGTCGCCAGGCCCGCGCGCGCGAGCGCGCGCGCGAGCGGCGTCGGTGCGCCGCGGCGGCCGTCGCGCGTCGCGTCGGAGCCCGGCGCGGCGGCGCCGGGCGTCGACGCGCCGCCCTCGGCGGCGAGCGACGCCCGCAGCAGCTGCGCGACGGCCGCGAGCGTCGCGCCGACGCCCGCCGCGCCGCCGTCGGCGCCGTCGGGCCACGCGGCGACGCGCGCGGCGTGGGGCGGCGCCAGGATCGCCGCGCAGGCCTCGGCGACGCCCGCGCTGCCGTCCTCCGGCAGCAGCAGCAGCGCCCGGTCGTCCGGCGGCGCCGCGTCGAGCATCGCCTTCAGGCAGCCGAGCGCCGCGACCGCGCCCGCGGGCGACAGCTCGTTGGCGCCCCGCTTGTCGCCGAGCTGGTCCAGCAGGGGCACCCAGAGCTTGGCGGCGAGGAGCCGCGCGCCGATGAGGGGCACGAGCGTCGCCGCGTGCGCCAGCAGCCGCAGCGGCGCGTCGAGCAGGCCCCGCGTCCGCGCGCCCAGCCGGTTCCCCTCGAGCAGCGGCAGGAAGGGGCCCGACGCGTCCGCCGGCGCCTCGTCGACGGCGCCGAGGGACGCGTCGTCGCTCTCCGTCGACGCGTCGGCGACGCGCGCCTTCGCCGCGTCGTACGTGAGCACGCGCCACACGGCGCCGAGCGCCTTGGGCGCCGCCGCGGCCTTGAGCACGGCCGTCGCCACGGCGTTGGGCCCCCGGAGCGGGTCGCCGCCGGCGCTCCCCGCCGTCGCCGCGGAGCCCGGGCGGCTCGCGGCGTCCGCGCGCGCGCGCGCGGCCTGGAGCGCGCCGTCGAGCAGCCCCGCGGCCGCGCCGAGCACGCGCACGTCGCCCTCGGCCTGGGCGCCGTGGAGCGCGACGCGCGCGGCCTCGACGGCCTCGAGCGTCCGCGCGTCGTCGAGCGCGTCCGCGCGCGCCAAGGCGCCGAGCGCCGCGAGGCACACGCCCGCCACGTAGCCCCCCGGCGCCTCGCGGAGCCGCTCCAGGAGGAACGCGACCAAGAAATCGTCCCGCGCGCGGCCCAGCGCCCGCGCCGCCGACGACGACGCGCCGCAGCAGCGGCTCGCGACGCGGAGCACCTTGGCCAATTTCGCGGGCGGCCAGCGGCGCGCCGCGTCGAGCAGGTCGCAGAGCGCGAGCGCCGGCGGCGCCGTCGCGGGCCCCAGGGCCTCCGAGACGGCCTTCTCGACGCGGCGGCGCAGGGCGAAGCGCTCCCGCAGCAGCGCCGCCGACTCCTCGGCGTCGCGCGCGGTGGCCGCGACGTCGTTTCCGTCGTCGCGCCGCGCCGCGAAGAGCGGGAACGGCGTCGGCGGCGCGGAGATGGCCAACGCCCGCGGCGGCTCGAGGAACAGGCTCAGCGCCCGCGCCGCCGGGAGCGCGTCGGCGCCGCCGAGGCCCAGCCGCGCCGCGAGCGCTTTGGGGAGCTGGTGCGCGAGGAGCACGTCGAGCGTCGCGGGCGTCGCGCGCCGCAGGCACGCCGTCGCGCAGGCCACGGCCGCCGCCGCCGCCGCGCCCGTGGGCCGCTCCGCCGCGAGCGCCTTGCGCAGCGCCGCCGCCAGGGCCCAGCGCGCGGACGTGGGCACGAAGGGCCGGCCCTCGTCGTCGCTGCGGTCGCGGAGCCACGGCGGCGACCCCACGAGCTTGGCGGCCAGCGCGAAGGCGGCGACGGCGCCGTCGTCGCCGTCGTCGGCGCCGAGGCAGGCGTCGAGCACGGCGACGCAGGGCGGCAGCGCGAGGCCCATGGCGTCGCGGTCCTCCGGCGTCCCACCTTTTTCCCGCGCGGCCGCGACGCCGCGGTCGCAGCAGTCGACGACGGCGGCGGCCCAGCCCGCGCCGCCGCGCGCCTCGGCGACGGCGCTCAGCGCGTCGCGGAGCTGCGGCGCGTAGGCCGCGCCGCGGCTCGACGCCGCGGAGTCCGGGCCGTCGAGCCACGCGCGGACGCGCGCGAGCGGCGGCGAGCCCTCGCCGCCGGCGTCGCCCCGGGCCGGCGTCGCGGGCGTCGCGGGCTTGCGCTCCCGCGGCGGCGGCGGCGGCATGGCCTCGCGGAGCGTCTCCTCCATGGGGCTCAGGTCGCCGGACCGGCCGCCCTTGTGGCTCGACGTCGGCGACGGCTCCTCCTCCTCGACGATGTCGAGGCCGCGGTCCGTCATCGTGCCGCCGCCGAGGTACTCGAGGAAGCGCTCGAGCCGCCCCCGCGGCGGGCCCGCGCCGCCGCAGTCGCCGTAGAAGGCCAGGTCCCGCGCCGCGCGCGCCTCGTCCTCGGCCGTGTCCTGCACGAGCGGGTGCTCGAGGAGCTGGGGCCACGCGAGCCGCTTCCGCGGGTCCTTCTGGAGGAGGCCGCTCAGGAAGGACTCGAACTGCTCCGAGACGTGGGACGGGAAGACCACGGGGTCCTTGACGATGTGGTTGATGAGCGAGTAGATCGAGTTCGTGTAGAACGGCGGCTGCCCCACGAGCAGCTCGAAGAGGATCACCCCCAGGCTCCAGAGGTCCACCGTGTGGTCGTAGGGCTGCTCCTTGACGAGCTCCGGCGCCATGTAGAGCGGCGTGCCCTTGATGGACGTGAGCACGATCGTGTCCATGGACATCGCTCTCGCGAACCCAAAGTCGCAGAGCTTCACGCGGCCGTTCGCGCCCAGGAGCACGTTCTGGGGCTTCAAATCCCGGTGGATGATGCGCTGCGAGTGGAGGTAGTGCAGGGCCTTGACGAGCTGGCGGGCGATGTCGCGCACCGTGTCCTCGGGCAGCGTGCCGTCCTCCTCTAAAATCTCGAAGAGCTCGCCCTGCGCGAACTCCGTGACGACGCAGAACTCGCGCTCCGTCTCGAAGTAGTCGAACATCTTCACGACGTTCTCGTGGTCCAGCGCCGACAGGATCGCGATCTCCTGGCGTAAATTGCGCATGTCGCGCTCCGACTTGCCGTGCTTGCTGATGAACTTGAGCGCGACGGTCTGCCCGGTGAACTTGCGCCGGCCCTTGTAGACCTTGCCTGCGGACGGAGCGGTGCGGCGCGGTTTTTCGGCGCGGGGACGCGGCGCGCGCGCCGAAGGAGCCCTCGCCGACGCGCTCGAGGACGATGTAGTTCTCGTGGTTGCCCTGCTTCATCGCCGGCTGCGGCGGCGGCTGGGCGCGGGGCCGCACCATGGCCGAGGCGCGAGGCGTCCGCGGCAGCGCTGCGCCGGCCGCGTAACGCTCACGCCACCGCCGCGACCGCGGACGACCGCCGCCGCGCTGCGGGGAACAGTGCTGCCCACCTCCCGGCAGTCGTCCTCTCTCAAAATTGAAATCAAGGTCGGCATTGAAGTTTTTTTTTCGTGGGGCGGCCGCGCGGGGCTTTAGGCTGAAGACCTCAGCCTAGGTCGGGACGCGCGCCAGAAGTCCGCAGCCTGCGTCGGGACGCGCGCGCGTTGCCCGGGAAGGCTGCGAGGCTGCTTTGGAGATTATGAGACGCCCCTATCACGCGCTAAAGGACAGGTGCGTCATGGAGGCCGGGCGGCACCTCGGCGCGTTCGCGGAACGGGTCGCACCCGTTTTCGACGAAGTTGCGTGCCGTCGTCGTCAGTTTCGCGATCATGACGTTGAGGTCGTAGTTGCTGCCCATGAACTCCTTGTGAAGGGGGGTCCAACGGTTTCTCGGACCTCGCTCTGCGCTCCGAGTTAGGCTCCGAGTCGATCGCGCCGCCTTGGCGTCTGCGCAGTGCGTGCTTGGTCGAGCGGGTCTCTGCGGATTGATCCGTGCAAGCTTGGACGTGCATAGTTTTACGACGTGTGGTCCGCTCATAGTAAAATCATGGCTTAAACGGCATTACGCTAGCGCTGGCGCGCGTAAGAGGCTATGGTACGACACACTTGCTACGCGCAGCCACATAACCTTGTCGACGACCGCAATGAGTGCTGGTCTTGTCGCATCCGCTTCGATCCTGGCTTCAGCATCATGCACGGTGCTTGCGTTGTTGACGATGTCGGTGGTCTGGTCGTAGAGCTGCTCGAGCACGGCCGCGAATGAGGCCCGACGTACTCGGACCCCCGCCCTCACCGGAGAAGCGTCGAAGCGCAATCGAGCTTGCTTGCCTTTGCTCGCCGAGCCGCACTGCCCGACTCCGCGACGCGGCTCTCGTCGTCGACCGCGGGGACGCAGCACACGCGGAAGCGCAAGACCATGGCCGACAAACCGCCTCCGCCCCCGAAGGGCGCGGCGGCGGCGACGGGCGCGCAGCCGTCGAAGCGGCGCGACGCGCTCATCGCCATGGAGCAATCTGTGCAGGCGCAGTGGGAGCGCGAGGCGACGTTCTCCGCCGACGCCGTCGAGGACGGCCGGCCCAAGTTCTTCGTGACCTTCCCGCGCGGCGCCCGCGTCCGCGACGCCCGAACCGCACTTCGCCGCGAGTGATGCAGCACGGGAACTTGGAGACCAGCGCCGCATTTGTCCCGGGACCCGGCCTCGTCCGGATGAACCTTCCCGGGAGCATGCGGCCGCGCTGCCTGCCTCCCGCGGTCCCCGACCGCCGTCTGACGCGCCCCGAACGCAAAGGACGAGAGCGCGACGACGCGCGCGCGGCGGCCGACCCGACGCGCCGCTCCTCTAGGTACCCCTACATGAACGGGCGCCTGCACCTGGGCCACGCCTTCTCCCTGACCAAGGCCGAGTTCGCGGCGTCGTTCAAGCGGCTCCAGGGCTACAACGTGCTCTTCCCCTTCGGGTTCCACTGCACGGGCATGCCCATCCAGGCGGCGGCGAACAAGCTCAAGGGCGAGGTCGAGGCCTACGGGAACCCGCCCGTCTTCCCCGGCGCCGCCGAGGCCGCCGCGGCGGCCGAGGCGAAGCAGTCGGCGAAGGTCGACGACCTGGAGAAGGAGATGGCCGCGCTCGGCAAGAAGGGCAAGGCCAAAAAAGCCAAGGTCCAGTCCAAGGCCGCGGGCACGTCCTACCAGTGGCAGGCGTTGGAGAAGATGGGCATCGAGCCGTCGGAGATCGGCGCGTTCGCGGAGCCGTTCAAGTGGTTGGACTACTTCCCGCCCTACGGCGTCGCGGACCTGAAATTGTTCGGCACGTCCATCGACTGGCGCCGGTCCTTCATCACGACGAACAAGAACCCCTACTACGACTCCTTCGTGCGCTGGCAGTTCGAGAAGTTGAAAGCCGCGGGCAAGATGGCCTACGGCAAGCGCGCGAACGTCTACGCGGTCAAGGACGCGCAGTGCTGCGCGGACCACGACCGCGCGTCCGGCGAGGGCGTCGGCCCCCAGGAGTACACGCTGATCAAGCTCGAGGTCGCCGAGCCCAAGCCCGCGTGCCTCGCGGCCTGCGGCGGCGCCAAGGTCTACCTCGTGCCCGCGACGCTGCGCCCGGAGACGATGTACGGCCAGACGAACTGCTACGTGCTGCCCGAGGGCGCCTACGGCTGCTACCGCCAGGCGTCGGGCGACGTCTTCGTCATGTCGAAGCGGTCCGCCGTCGGGCTGGCCCACCAGGGCTCCTTCGCGAAGAACGACAACGGGCCGGACGTCTTCTCCGGCTACGCGCGGACCTGGGGCGCCGTCGACCAGGTCGGCGCCGACTTCAAGGGCCAGGACCTGATCGGGTGCCCGCTGAAGGCGCCGTTGGCCACGTTCCCCGTCGTCTACGTGCTCCCGCTGACGACGATCTCGATGACCAAGGGCACGGGCGTCGTCACGTCCGTGCCCTCGGACGCGCCCGACGACTGGATCGCGCTCCACGAGCTGAAGCACGACGAGAAGCTCCGCGCCAAGTTCGGCGTCAAGGAGGAGTGGGTCGCGCCCTTCGACGTCGTGCCCATCATCAACATCACCGTCGCGGGCTCCGAGGACGGCAAGAAGGAGTCCTGGAGCTCGGACAAGTCGGCCGAGTACTGGTGCGAGAAGCTCGAGATCACGTCGCAGAAGGACCAGGCGAAGCTCAAGCTCGCCAAGGGCGAGACGTATTTGAACGGCTTCAACTACGGCGTCATGCTCGTCGGCGGCCACAAGGGCGAGCGCGTCGAGGCGGCCAAGCCGCTCGTCAAGGCGGAGCTCGTCGCGTCCGGCGACGCGCTGCTCTACTTCGAGCCCGAGTCGCCCATCGTGTCGCGGTCGGGCGAGGACTGCATCGTCGCGCACACGGAGCAGTGGTACCTCAAGTACGGCGAGCAGGAGTGGCGCGACAAGGTCGTCGCGCACGTCGACGGCGTCTTCGAGGCCTACAACCCGGAGTGCCTCGCGCGCTTCAAGTACACGCTCGGCTGGATGAAGGAGTGGGCCTGCTCGCGGCTCTTCGGCCTCGGCACGCGCATCCCCTGGGACGACGCGTGGCTCATCGAGTCGCTCTCCGACTCGACGATCTACATGGCCTACTACACGGTCTGCCACGTGCTCCAGGGCTTTGGCGCGACGAACCTCGACGGCGCCGAGCAGGGCGCGGTCGCGCCCGAGATGATGACGGCCGCGGTCTGGGACTACGTCTACGTGACGGGCGCGCCCCACCCGGCGGCCGTCGACGGGTCCTGCGCCGTCCCCGACGACCTACTCGCAAAAATGCGGGCCGAGTTCCAGTACTGGTACCCCATGGACCTGCGGGTCTCGGGCAAGGACCTCATCGGCAACCACCTGACGATGTGCCTCTACAACCACGCGGCCATCTGGCCCGACGAGGCGGCCACGCGCTGGCCCCGGTCCATGTACACGAACGGCTTCGTGCTCCTCGACGGCGAGAAGATGTCGAAATCGACGGGCAACTTCCTCATGCTCGACGAGGCCTGCGCGCTCTACTCCGCCGACGCGGTGCGCTTCGCGCTCGCGGACGCGGGCGACTCCCTCGAGGACGCCAACTTCGAGCGGAAGCGCGCCGACGGCGCCATCAACATGCTCTACGTCGAGGAGGAGTTCGCGCGCAAGGCGACGGGCCGCCACGCGGACCCCCTCGAGCTCCGGCCCGCCGACGCGCCGCGCGACGCGTACATGATCGACACGGCCTTCGCCAACGAGATGGCGTCGCTGGCCGCGGAGACGCTGGCCTGCTACACGGCCATGCGCTGGCGCGACGGCATCCAGGCGGGCGCGTTCGGGCTCCAGCTCGCGCGCGACGCGTACCGCGACTGGTGCGTGCGGTCGTCCGTGCCCATGCACGCGGGGCTGCTGGCGGACTACGTGGCGCTGGAGTGCGCGCTCATCGCGCCGGTCTGCCCCCACTTCGCGCACCACGTCTGGTTCGACGTGCTCGAGAAACGGGAGCCTTTGACGTGGCCCGCCGCGGCGCCCGTCGACAAGGCGCTGAACCGGTCCTACGGCTTCCTCAAGGGCACGGCGCGGTCCCTGCGCCTCGACGCGGCCAAGGAGCTCAAGGCGCTCAAGGGCAAGCCGCCCGCGGGGGGCTACGTCTACGTCGCTTCCGTCTACCCCGAGTGGCGCAAGGCGGTGCTCAAGCTCGCGCGCGACGCGTGCGCGGCCGCCGGCGGCGCGCTCATCGAGAAGAAGGCGCTCCTCGGGGCGCTCAAGGGCGCGGGGTCGCCCTTCGCCAAGGGCGGCGCCTTGGAGAAGCAGGCCAAGTTCGCGATGCAGTTCGGGAGTTTCATGCACGACTACGCCGCGGAGGTCGGCCTCGACGCCTTCGACGACACGCTGCCCTTCGACCAGGTCGCCGTGCTCAAGGAGTCCCAGGACTACCTCTCCAAGTGCATCATGTCCGGCCAGCTCCTCCCCATCGAGATCGTCGACCTCGAGAACACGCCGAGCCCGCCGGGCCCGGAGAAGAAGTACGCCAACGCGAGCCCGGGCAAGGTCACCATGCACCTCTACGCCTAGGCCCGGCGCCGGGCGCGGCGCGCCTAACGGACGTGACATACTTAGGGGCGCGACTTTAAGGGTGCGACGTCGCTCGCGCGACGTTGCTCGCTCCCTCGCGCTCGCGGGAAACGGGGCCCAAGAGAGCGGCGCCCGAGGTCCTCCGTCGTCGCCGCCGGCGGCGGCGAGCCCGGTCGGGCCGCGGGCGCTGTGGTGCCGCGCGCGCGCCGCAGCGGGGGAGGGCGCCGCCGCGGGGCTCGCGCGGCGCGGCGGCCGGCGACCGCGTCCGCGTCCGCGTCGTCGCCGCGTCCTCGGGCCGGGCGCGCCGCGCTGCCCGATCGGCCGCCGCGGGGGGCGGGGCGCCGCGCGGCCTCATTGCTGCTTTTGGATGCGCTCGCGCGAGTCGACGCCGTCGACGTACCACCAGATCATGAGCGACCATGCCAGCAAACAAATGACGGAGAAGACGATGAGGGCCGCCTTCTCGCCGCCCTCGATGTGGTTGCAGGTGTCGCGGAGCTTGAACTCGGCCTGCTTCGTCCCCTGCGAGTTATCCATATGCGTCTCCCGCGGGCAGCTCACCCTCTTTTTGAAGCGCGGGCAGCCTCTCCGACCTCACTGAAGCCGGTGGATTTACGAAAGAAGATTCAGAACACGGCAATCACCCGAAATTCTGGAGCGCCGCCCATTCTCGACCGCGAGTGGCCGCCGACGCGACCCCCGCCGGATCTAGCCCCTCACTCCGCGACAACGCGAACCCAGGCGCGCCCGACCCGGAAAACAACAGGGTGGTGGTTTCACAGAACAGTGTCGGTTAGCGGTGGCCGCGCGGCGTGCGGCCGTTTTTTTTTTTGTGTGTTTTTGTGTGTTTTTGTCGTTGTTTGTGGTGGTCGTGGTAGCGAGGGGTGCCGCGCGCGCCGCCCCTCTCGCGAGAGGGGCGCGGCGGGCGGCATGGCGGCGGGCGGGCTCGCGCGGCGGCGGCGCGGAGCTCCGGAGGTGAGGCGTCGCGGGGGGCGAGTGGCGTCGCGGGGGGGGGGCGCTCCGGCGCGGCGTCGTGGGGCACGACGCCGCGCGGCGCTCGGCACGGCCCCCGCGCCTAGCCCTCGCAGTCGTCGTCCTCGTGGCGCGGCGTGCCCGGCGGGCTGCCGCCGCCCTTGCGGCGCATGTAGCCCTGGCGGCCGCGCTCGCGGCAGCGGTCGCACTTGGAGGCCGCGAGCTTCTCGGCGAAGGCCGTGAGGTTGCGGAAGCGCTTGCAGCCCTTGCACCACTTGAAGTGCGTGTCGCTGGCCATGTGGCGCCACAGCGCCTTGTCGCACTCGCGGCAGACGTCCTTGTTCTGGCGGGGGATGACGACGTCGCCGACGGGGTTGCAGAGGTCGACGTCCTCGGGCTTGACGGGCTCGGGCTTGGCCGGCGGCGACTCCGCGCCGGGCTCGCGGGGCCGGCGGCCGCACATGACGCAGTGGATCGCCGCGCGCGACTTGGCCCGGGGGAAGTTGATGAGCATCTCGTAGGGCGGCGCGGGCCCGCCGTTGAGCGTCGCGGGGTCCGGGTCGTCCTGGACCGTCGACGAGATCTTGCCGCGGTACGCGACGATGGGCTGGTCCGGGCCGGGGTGCGCGTCGGGCTTCTTCTCCGCCTTGCGCGGCGCGTCGTCGTCGCCGCCGCGGCGGCCCCGGCGCTTCGCCGCGCCGTCGCCGCGGCGGCCGCCGCCGCGGGCCGCCGCCGCGCCGCGGCGGCCCCGGCCCACGGGCGCCGCGGGCGCGTCGTCCTCGAAGGCGTCGCGCCGGCCCTTGCCCGCCCACGCGCCGCCGCCGCCGCCGCGGTGCGCCGACGACGCGGAGATGTCCGAGCCCTCGACGGAGCAGTAGGAGCCCTGGGAGTCGGAGCGCCCCCGGAAGCCGAGGCGCGGCACGTCGTGGCGCCCCGAGTCGAAGCGGCCGTCCTCGGAGCACGCGCTCCCGAAGGACCCGACGGAGCCGCAGCGCCGGTTCCGGCCACCCCGGGGCGGCGCGAGGCCCGAGGCCTCGTCGGGCGGCGCGAGGCCCGGCTGGCCCTCGAAGAAGTTGGACAGGAACGGCATCTCCATGTCGAAGCCCATGAGCTGGTCGTCGTGCGGCAGCCCGAGGACCTCGGCGCTCGGCGGCGGCTTCCGCGGCCCGCCGGGCGCCGCGAGGTCGCTCAGCGCGCCCTCGAGGTCGAGCTCGGCGAGCAGGTCGATGGACCCCGCGCGCGATTTCCGCGCGGGCGACGACGTCGTCGACGCGCCGAGCTGCTTGTCGAGGTGGCCCGCGTGCATGAGCCTCTCGAGCTCGCCGCTGTCGCCCAGCTGGTACTTGTCCAGCGCCGCGCGCAGGGCCTCGTCGCCGTAGATGATCATGTCCTTGAGCGCGCCCTTTTGCGCCGCCGTCACGAGGCCCGCGCGCTCGAGGTCGCTCGCGGACCGCAGCCGCCCGCTCAGGGACCCGTCGCCGCTGTCCGTGCGCTGCCGCGTGAACGAGCCCGCGCGCACGCGCTTCGGCCTGCGGGGGGCGGTGGTTTTTTTTGTCCGAAAAGCGTCGGTTGCCTCTCCCGTAACCGACGGAACCGGACGCCGCGCGCGCGCATGAAGTTGCCGTAGCTCGAGGGCGTCGCCGCCGGCGGCGTGTGCTTCGCCTCCACGGCGCCCGAGTGCGCCTGCGCCTGCGACGCGCGCGGGTCGAGCAGGGCGCGCGCGAAGCGACGATACGCTTCCGCCGGTGAACCGGGTCGCCGGACGCGGCCGCGCGCGTTGTCCCGGTTCCACGAGGCGCTCTCAAAGTCCGCCATGTGGTTGTCCTCCTCCAGGCTCGTCGAGGGGTTGATCCTGCGCGGGAATCGGGAATTTCGGCTCCACGTGTCGATGGGGCCTCCGGCTGCCAGCTGGCTGCGGGGAGCGGTGCGAGCCCCCGGAAGCGGACGCCGCGGCGCGCGTCAACACAGATGTCGCCATGGCTATTTGTCAGGGGCGATTTCTGGAGTTGAGGAGGCGGGGGGCGCTCGGAATGCGAGATAAATAGGCGTATAGCACAAGATGGGCCGAGAGCTGAGCGCCGATGCTCTCGTGGTCGCCGCGCCAAGCCTACCCCCGAGCGATAAGACAGCGATTCGGGAGGGGTAATTCAGCGGTGTTTCTTTAATTTTTCCCGCTTCGGCGCTTGCCGTCGCCGTAGGGCGGCGGCGCCGTCGCGACGCGTCATGCCCAAGGTCGACGCCGAGCTAAACTTGAATCCAGCGACGTGTTACCCTTCTTATCCGCGATCGCCGGCGGAATGAGCCTCACGAACACGTGGCCGCGGCGCGCACGCCACCACTGGCAGGCCGCGACGACGTCCCAGGCCGATGGCAGGACTCCGACGGCCGCCGGGCGCTCCCTGGCCGCGGTGTCTCCCTGCACGGCGCGTAAGGGCGGAGTTCTTGGTGCCCTAGGCGTCGCGGCACGCGCGGGTCGACCTTCGCTTTTTGCCCTGGCCACAAAGGCCTGCGGCGCTCCCGCGCTGCCCTCCGCGGGCGACGGCGCCGCCTGCCCGGTTTCCATCTGCGCGCGCTCTTTGGCTTCGTTCTGCGCCGCCCCCGCGCCGCCCGACGCCTTCGACGCCGCGCCATGGACCACCCGGACGACGCCGGGGACGCGGATCTCGAGTACCTCGAGGAGTTCGACGCGTCGCGCGGCATCCCGTTTCAAACGCACCTGCTCGCGGGGTCGGGCGCGGGCCTGGCGGAGCACTGCCTCGTCTTCCCGCTGGACACGATCAAGACGAACGCGCAGTGCGTCGGGCAGTGCGGGCGGACCCAGGCGCCGGACGTCGTCTGCGTGCGCGCGGCGAAGGAGCTCCTCAAGGACGGCTACAGCAGCGGCGCGGGCGCGCTGCGGCTCTGGCGGGGCGTCGGCGCCGTGACCATCGCCTGCGTGCCGGCCCACGCCGTGTACTTCGGGTCCTTCGAGGCCGTGCGGTCATTCGACGCGGGGCGGCCCGAGCCGTCCGTCGTCGTCAACGCCGTCGCGGGCGCCGTCGCGGCCGTCGGCCACGACGCGATCATGACGCCCGCGGACGTCGTCAAGCAGCGCCTCCAGCTCGGCCACTACGGCGGCCTCGTGGACTGCTTCCGCGAGACGACGCGCTCCGGCGGGCTCGCGAGCCTCTACCGGTCCTTGCCGACGACGCTCGCGATGAACGTGCCCTACGGCTGCGCGTCCGTCGCGCTCAACGAGCACCTCAAGAGCTCGCTCAAGCGGCGGCGCGAGGGCCGGCCCCTCGGCGTCGCGCCGCTCCTGGCCTGCGGCGGCGCCGCGGGCGCGGTCGCGTCGCTGCTCACGACGCCGTTGGACGTAGTGAAGACGCGGCTCCAGACGCAGAACCTGCGGCGCGCGGCGCCCTGCCCGCCGGCCGGCGGCGCGCCGGGCCGCCGGGGCCTCGCGTCCTTCGCCGCGGGCGCGCCGGGGAGCCTCTACGCGGCCGAGGCGACCGGCGCCGCGACGGTCTACAACGGCTTCGCGGACGCGGCGCGCGCCATCTACACGGCCGACGGCTACCGCGGCTTCTTCCGCGGCGCGACCATGCGCGCCCTCGCCCAGGCGCCGTCCGTGGCCATCGTCTGGACCACCTACGAGCTCCTCATCCGCTCCCTCGCGCCGCCGGCGCCCTAGCGGCGATTTTAACCAAGCTTCTCTACAAAAACAATGTTACACGGACGTCCCGTCGTCCTCCTCGACGACGCCGGAGACCGCCAGCTGCAGGCTCGGCTGGGGCTTGTCGTCGTCGCGGCCGTCGTCGTCCGCCGCGAAGACGACCTCCTTGAGGAGGGACATGCCCGCGGCGCCGATGGACCGCAGGCCCGACGGCGCCTCGCCGTCCTTCGGCGCCGCCTTGTCCAGCAGCGCCGGCAGGGCGACGACGGCGAAGTCGACGCACGCGAGCGCCGCGGGCAACGCCTCCGCGGGCGACAGCGGCGGCGCGGTGCCGTAGCCGTGGGCGACGGCGAGCACCGTCTCCTTGAGCAGCGACCCGTCGGCCTGGAGCGCGCCGCCGTGGTGGCTCCGGAGCTGCCGCGCCTTGAAGAGCACGCCGACGCCGACGGACTGCGCGCGTTCGAACGCCTCGCCGAGCGACGCGCGGCCCGCGGCCATGGCCGCCGTCGCCGCGACGGGGTCCGACGTCGTCGCCGCGGACGACGCGGCGCCCGCGGAGCCGGCGGCGGACGCCGCGGCCGCGCGAGGGCCGCCGGCGCCGCCGGCGGCCCGGGCGTCGCGCACGAGCGCCACGGCGACGTCCGCGGCGTCGGCGACGCACTCCTCGCGCAGGCGCCGCAGCGCCTGCGTCGACCGCGACCGCTCCTCGAAGAGGGCCACCTCGAAGGCCGACGCGCGCGCCTCGGCGGCTTCGCGCAGCTTCGCCTCGTCGTCGAGGGCCCGCTTGAGGCCGCTCGCCTGGTCCGCCGCGAGCTTCGCCGCGCGCTTCGTCTGCCGGTGCGCCTCGCGCTCCTGCTCGAGGGTCGCGAGCACGGACGCGACGTCGGCCATTGCGGTTCTTGCGGCGCGCGCGCGACGAGGATGGCGGCGTCGAGCTCTTTCGTTGACGAGGTGTTGCCTTCGGCAACGTTAACTCACTTTGCCGTCTAGACGATGCTGCCCATCCAGAAGATCACGGTGCTCCTGCTGGCTGCCGTCGCGGCAGCCAAGAAGACGCCCTCGGGCAGCTACAGCGGAAATGCTACGGCCGGCTCCAAATCCTTCGAGACGGCCTGGTACGCGAACATGGACGGAACGACCTTCGACGTCTCTTTCCGCGGCGCCCTGAGCGTCGAGTGCTCCCAGAGCCCGACGGGCAAGGGCGAGGCCTACGCGCTCGACGACAGCGGCAAACTCACGCTCCCGAACATCCAGAAGGAGGGCGCGGCGGCGGCGTCCCCGCCTCTTTTTATTATCGCGACGCCCGCGCGCAGGCGACTGCGTCCACGACGAGCTCGAGACACAGGACGCGAGCGTCTTCGGCATGACGTACAACAACGAGACGGACGTCTTCCAGCTCGAGCTCACGGTCGCGGGTCTCATGACGAGCCTCCAGCTGGCGCGCTAGCGTAATACCCAGGCGAGGCACGCGAGCGCGACGACCCCGAAAGGGGCCCGCCGCGCCGCGGCGGAGGACGGCGCCCTCCGCTGCGCGACGGCGCAGAAGCCCGGGCCGCCGGCGCAGTCCGGGGCGCACGTCTCCGCCTGGTCGATGGCGCCGAGGAGGAGCGCGCCGAGCGGGTGGCGCCTCCGGGCGAGGTCCGCGACGACGCCGGACGCGGGCGGCTCGGAGCGGTTCGTCGTGAGCTTGAGCATCTTCTCCGCGTGGAGCGTCGCCGGGGGCAGGCCCAGGAAGGCCAGGAGCGCCCGCGTCGTCGCAGCCTCGCGGCACCGGAGGTCGTCGTACTGGAGCCAGAAGACGGGCTGGATCGCCGCGCGCGCCGCGCACGTCTCCCGGAAGGCCTCCGTGAGGCGCAGGTGGCCCGCGAGGCGGCCGGCGACGAGGGGGTCCGACGGGTCGACCCGCGGCGCCTCGAAGGCGCAGGGCGCCGCGGACCCGTTCTCGAGGACGACGTGCGTGCCGCACGCCGCCTGGTGCGCGTCGCCGACGACGTTGGCGATCAGCGCCGCCGCCGGGTTCGGCCGCGCGAGGCAGATCAAGCGGAGGCCGTCGAGGGTCGCCGCGAGGCTCGCGTAGGTCGCGTTGCGCCGCGCGAACGCGTCGACGTCGAGGAACCGCTGCCACTTCTGCATCGCGCCGAACGCTCTCGCGCCCGCGACGGACTCGCGGCGCTGCGCGAGCTTGATCGGCGCGACGGACGCGTCCTCGCGCTCGTAGAAGCGGCGGAAGCGGTCCGCGCCCTCGGCGACGGACCAGCAGCACATGCCCGCGAGGTCCTCCCCGATCACCGTCGCGTCGCTGTGGTTCCCGAGGAGCATCTCGAGCCACGTGCTGCCGACGCGGCCGTGCTCCATGAGCACGAGGAACTTCGCGCGCGTCGTCGGCGTCCGCGGGCCGCTCAGCGCGCCGCTGCAGCGGCCGCCGCAGCGCGGCCGCGCGAGCCGGTCGACGATGGCGCCGAGGCCGCCGTCGCTCAGGTTCGACCAGTCGCGGTGCAGGCGCTGCTGCCGGTAGAATCCGAACTTGATCGACGGGTCGGGTCGCGGGAAGGGCTGGCATGCGGCGACCACGGCCCATGCGAGCAACCCGAAAGCGCACATCGCATTATACGCGGGAAGGGCTGGCATGCGGCGACCACGGCCCACTGCCAGTAGTGAAGGTGCAAGTCGGAGCCAATCGACGTATCTAATCGACGTCGATCGACATGGCCGTGAAGATTGGAGCCGTACAGATTCGGACCCCCGGCAAGATGCTCGTGGCCCTGGCCCTCGCCGCGCCGGCGCGCGCCTTCTACGCGCCCCGCGCCCGCACGGCCGCCGCGCCGCTCCGGGAACGAGCCTCGTGGTCCTGGGAGCAGGTCGACGAAAAGGACGACGAGATCCTCCAGTCCAAGACCTACTACGCCGACGAGCTTTGCGCGGAGGAGGAGGAGTGCCAGCTCGCCGACAGCGACCAGTTCTGCGTCGCCGTGCTCGGCGACCTCCACATGGTGAGGCGTCCCCTCCGCTACCCCGCCCCGCCCGACCGTCCCGTCCGCGCGCGCGACGAGAACCGAGCGCCCCCGTCGCAGGACCCGCGGAAGATGGAGGACTACGCGACGGGCCGGTCGCACGTCGTGCCGATCCTCGAGGACGCCAGCGACCGGGGCGTGCAGACGGCGCTCGTGAGCCTCGGCGACCTCGGCGAGAGCAAGAGCGTCAGGCCCGAGGAGACGGCCGAGCTCTTCGCCGGCACGACGGCCTGCCACGAGCTCGCGGCGGACTTTTTAGGGTCCTTCGGCACGGACTACGAGGTCATCGGCGGGAACCACGACCTCGAGGGCATCGACGAGTTCGCGACGGACGAGGAGAACCTCCGGGTCTTCATGGACCTGCACGGCAAGCCGACGCCGCAGTTCAGCCGCCAGATCGCGGAGAAGACGCTGCTCGTCGGCATGGGGTCGACGGTCTTCCGCGAGGCGCGCTACACGTCCCACGAGGTCACGGTCGACGACGCGCAGATCGCGTGGTTCGAGCAGACGCTCGAGGCGCACCCGTCGTCGGAGGGCTGGAAGATCTTCGTCTTCACGCACGCGCCGCCCATCGGCTCGGGGCTCCGCGTGCTCCAGGCGAACCACGTCGTCAACGGCTGCTGCTGGCTCAACCACAGCGGCGGCGCGACGACGCGCAAGTTCATCGAGCTCGTCCGGAAGCACCGCTGCGTCAAGGCCTGGTTCTCCGGCCACTTCCACCTGGGCCAGGACTACGAGGACAGCATCACGTTCCCGACGATCGACCCGTCCGAGGGGGCCTACCCGAACCGGGGCTCCTGCGTCTTCGTCCAGACGTCCGTGATGCGCGGCGGCGCGTCGCGCGACGGCCGCCAGCAGAGCCGTTTGATCCGCGGCGACGCCGACGGCTTCGAGGTCTGCACCATCGACCACGCGCGCGGCGGCGCCGTGCGCCTCGACGCGACGATCTCCTACACGGACGAGAACCACGAGGTCGGCGTCTACGCGCACAGCCACGACGACGTCGAGGAGATGGGCGAGACCTTCATGAAGGTCTACAAGCCCGAGGAGGGCGACGAGTGCTTCGTGACCTACGACGAGGACACGGGCGTCGTCGACTCGACGGCCGGCTGCGAGGTCGACGGCGAGACGGTCGCGTGGTGGAAGCTCAACTGCGGCCGGGTGCTGGGCATCTACGACGGCCGGCTGCTCGAGTACGACCCGTCGACGCTCGCGCCGTTGGGCCTCGTCGTCGGCTTCGACGAGCTCGCGGGCCGGCGCGTCGTCGTCGTGCCGTCGGGCGAGGAGGCGTGCAAGATCATCGACGGCCCGGAGATCACGACGGACGGCGGCCGCGAGGCCGCGGATTGCGGCGCGGACGAGGAGGGCGGCGAGCAGGCCGTGCTCCTCATCGACGACGAGTCGGGGGCCATCACCGTGGTCCAGCCCAACGAGGACGGCTCCTACTGGCGCAAGATCGTCCGCAACAAGATCGTCCGCATGAAGGAGAAGCGCCGCGTCGAGGCGGCCGCGCGGCTCGCGGGCGACCTCTTCGCGGACAAGCTCGGCGGCGACGACGGGCCCAGCGTCTTCTCCTCCTGGGGGCCCTACACGCAGATCTCGGGCACGGCGACCAAGACGGCCGTCCCGGGCGTCACGTCGAGCCGCGCGCCGTCGAAGACGAAGCAGGCGTCGCGCTAGGTGTGTGGTGATGTCTCTAAAGGCCGCTGTGTCTGGCTACTCCATATGGTGCTCTCGGGCAGTGGGCTCGCGCCACAGCGGCTCCCGCGATCCCCGTCACTTCCATCTCGGGCTCGCGGGCGGCGCGGGCGCGGCCTTCTTCGCCTTCCGACGGAAAGGCTTCTTCTTCTTCTTCGCCTTTGCGGGCTCCGGCTCCGAAGGCGCGCTGGCGGGCTCGGGCTCCGAAGGCGCGCTGGCGGGCTCCGGCTCCGAAGGCGCGCTGGCGGGCTCGGGCTTCGAAGGCGCGCTGGCGGGCTCGGGCTTCGAAGGCGCGCTGGCGGGCTCGGGCTTCGAAGGCGCGCACGCGTCGCCAATCCAGAAGACCGACGCCCCGGACGCGGCGGGCCTGCCGCCGGGGGCCCACTCCGGGCGCGCGTAGGAGGCCTCGCACGACCGCGGGTAGAAGGGCTCCTCCGTCGTTTCGTCGGGGTGGAGGCCGCGCAGGCCGGCGCCAAAGACGATGGTCGAGAGCTTGATGCCCTTCTGGTCCACCTCGAAGGTGAACAGCGCGATGAGATTGGCGCTCATTGCGAGCGCGGCGGCGGAGCCGCCCCGCGCGGCGCGCCGCGGGTTCGCCCCCACGTTGATCGCGTCCACGTCGCCGTCGAGGTCCGCGAGGCGCAGCCAGAGGCTCGAGAGCTGGTAGTCTCCGCGGAAGAGGGACAGGCTCAGCCACTGCCCTCCGCGGAGGAGCGGCACGAGCGACGCTCGCACGCCCGCCGTGCCCCAGTAGTCGTCCTCGGTCGTCGGGATGCCGGCGTCGGGGCCCTTCTTCCGCGGCACGGGCGCGTCGAGGCGGAACGGCGAGTCGTCGCGCCGTCGGAGCCTACCGCGCGCGTCGGTCACGCGTGTTCATCGTTTTCCCGGTCAAAATCTCTCGAAAGATCGTCACGGATGCAGGACGCCGGTCGGAGCTCGTCGTGGAACCGCTTCTGCTCGAGGCGGAGGCACGTGTAGTCGTCCGCGACGTCGAGGGAGAGGAGCGCGACGCCGAGGCTCGACGGGCCGAACGTCGCCAGCTGGCGCCTGATCTCGGCGACGAGCTCGACGACCGCCGCCCGTTGCTCGCGGAGGAGGGCGGCGTCGTAGGGCGTCTCGTCGCAGCCCGTGGCCGCGAGGCGCTCGAGCACGCGCGCCTCGAGGTCGAGCGCGTCGACGGCCGCCGTCGGGTCGATGACGCGGACCTCGCGCGCGTAGTAGAGGGCGCCCATGAGCGACTGCTGCGACGGGTTGCGTCCGTGGCTGAGCAGCTTCTGCGTCACCGGGGGCCGCGCGTCGGGCGCGCCCCGCGCGCCGCGCTCGTAGAGCTCGAGCTCCGCGACCTCCAGGAAGACGCGGGACATGGCCATCGCCCCCGCGGCCGCCACGCGCGCGCAGCGCGCGACGAGGTCCACGTCTCGGAGCTCGTCGAGCCGCGCGCGTTGCAGCGCGGCCCAGCCCGCGCGCAGGGAGAATTCGACGGTATCGAGCGCGTCCTGGAGGCGCCCGCGGTCCAGCGCGCGCCGGCCCTCGTCGAGGTCCGCCTCCGCGTCCTCGCACATGGCGCGCGCGACGTCCGTGCGTCGCTCGCCCGTCGTCATCGACTTGACCGTCGCGCCCTGCATCGTGTTCAGGTGGCACATCCGCTCGTCGCAGTCCTGGCGGTGCAGCGTCCAGTCGACGTCCTGGCAGACGTCGCTGCAATACATGCGCCCGCGACACCGGGAGCACCCGCCGTAGGACGCGGACGCCAGGGCTCGTCTGCCGCACACGATGCATCCGACGGGGTGATTCGTGCCGGTCGGCATCATAAGCGACATGCAGAATTGCTTCTGCGCGAACTCATCGTCGAGCGTCGCGACCATGTTTTCGATCTCATCTGGACGAATGGCGAAGTCCTGCTTGTGCGCGTTCATGAAGGCCGGCCGAGTCGCTAGATCTCCCATAGCTCGCCGAAGGCGTTCGACATCGGCCATCGCAGCCATCTCGTGGGCAGCGCGTGAGGCAGCCCCTGGAGTCCTGGGCAGGAGCAAACCGTGATGACTCAATTAGTATCTAATTAGTCGTTGTTGAGCTTCAAATTCTGGCTTGGAATTTGAGCGCGAGGTCTGCGAGAGAGAGCATGGCAGCGATCCATGGATTGGCAGTCGCGGTCGCGGCCACGGTTGCAGCCGCGGACTTCTCGCCGCGCCTGACTCTGACGGGCAGCCCGAATGAGATGGTTATCTCCTGGGGTCGATTGTTAAATTCTTCTGCCTGGGTCGATGCCCCGCCGGCGATTTCCCGCGTGCGCTGGGGGCTGTCGAAGGCCGCGCTGTCCAACGAGGCGACCTCCAACGCGACGCTCATGCATTCGCGCACGGAGGACCTGAGCCGCTACGACTACTGCGGCGGCGAGGAGACGCATCGCCTCAACATGGTCCACCTCGCGGGGCTGCCCGAGGACTCCGACGTCTACTTCGCCGTCGAGGAATGCGCCGCGACGTGCGCGACGTCGTCCGTGCGCCACTTCAAAACGGCGAAGGCACCCAGCGCCGACGCGACGCTCCACTTCCTCGCGATGGGCGACGTCGGCGATCCCATAACCAAATCCTATACGTCGTTTCCGGAGATGGAGAAGCTCTGCGCGGCGCACGACGACATCGCGCTCGGCGTCCACGTCGGCGACATTTCCTACAACTTGGACATCCCGCCCATCGGAGACAACTACCTCGACGGTACCTTCTTCGGCGTCCATTAAGCGCTACGCGCCCCGATCCCCGCCGTCGTTCGCACCGCGCAGGTATCGCGAAGATGGAGGGCGTCCCCTGGATGATGGCGCCGGGCAACCACGAATCCGATTGCAACTACACCTACCAGAACTACAACGGCCGCTTCGCGGCGCAGAACCTGACGCGCGCGCGCGTCAACTCGAACGCGTCGCGGTACTACTCCTTCGACCTGGGCCCGGTCCACTTCGTCGCGCTCGACACGGACGCGTACGGCTTCGACGAGGTCGCGCCGCTGCTCAAGCCGCAGTACGACTGGCTCGTCGCGGACCTCGAAGCCGTGGACAAGAGCGCGACGCCCTGGACGATCTTGTACGGCCACCGGCCCATGTACTGCTCCGCGGCGTCCGCGCAGACGTCGGCGCGGCTCGGCTGGCCCAAGATGCCCGACGACGCGCCCGCGGACGCGCCGGAGCCGCCGGGCTACGGCGCCGGCTTCCGCGCGGCGGGCGTCGAGCCGCCGCCCTGGCGCGGGCCCGTCGGCGAGGCCTTCCCCTGCGGCTGCGCGGACTCGATGCGGAACGGCGTCCGGTCGACGGCCGACGGGTCGCGGCTCTACGCGCTCGAGCCCCTCATGGACAAGTACGAGATCCAGGTCTACCTGACGGGCCACGAGCACAACTACGAGCGGCTCTACCCCATGCTCAACGGGTCCTGGACGACGTCCTACGACAGGCCGGGCAAGCCCGTGCACGTGCTCACGGGCGCGGGCGGCGCCTACTCGAAGGACCCCTTCGGCCCCGAGGCGCCCTGGGACGCGGCGCGGTCCTCGGAGTGGTCCTACTCCGACATCGTCGTCAACAGGACCCACTTCTCCCTGAAGCAGCGCCTCAACACGAACTCGACCGTCATCGACGCCTTCGTCCTCGTCCGCTAGCCGGCGTCCGGGCGCGCGGCCGCGGCGCGCGCGGCGGGACACGTTACGATGAGCGAGGCGCACCTCGCCTCTCACCCGTATTCGGCCTCGAGCATGAGCGTCGCGAGGGAGGCCGTCGAGTAGGGCTTCTTCGTGCGCTTGCCCGGCTCGACGGACGGCTCGAAGACCGACTCCTCGAGCGTCTGCTCGTCGTCGTCGTCGTCGGCCCTGTGCGTGTAGTTGGTGTAGTTCTCCTCGCTGTAGAGCTGGCCCAGGGACGCCTGCTGGATGCGCTTCTTGTCCCGCGCCGCCATGTCGCGGTTGGGCTTGATGTCCGGCAGCGCGCGGACGCGCTCCTTGATCGTGTTCCGCAGGTCCGACGTCATGCGGCCGTCGGGCCGCATGAAGGCGGGCGTCGGCGCCGACATCTCGCTCATGAGGCCCGTGTGGCTCAGGTCCGGGATGACGCGCGGCACGTTCTTCAGACGCCGCCAGACGGCCGTGTCGGGGTGCGGCAGGTGCGTCATGGTCGTGATCTTGTCCATGTAGGGCCCGCGCGTCCGCCGGATGCGCACGGCGGGCGCCGCATGGAGCTCGGGGTCGAAGAGCAGCGTCGCCGCCGGCAGGGGCTGCCTCGCGGACTGGTCCGCGGCCATAACGTGGGCGCCGCCGGGAGCGCGGGGCAGCTCTCCGAGACGATGGCAGCGCTAGCACATCATACCCAGGTCTAAAGTGTCGTCAATGTCAAAGGCATCGTTGCCTGGCTCCCGATCGAATCGATGCTTCTGTGATTTGGGGCTGCCCGCAAAGACCATGAGCAGCCTGCTCGCGCTTCCCATGAGCGAGACGTACACGAACGCCGCGCCGTCGCACGGCCCGAGCGGCATCTACGCCTGGCGGTCCGCGACCTACGCGCTCGTCGGCGCCGACGGCGCGGAGATCGCCTCGTGTCGCTGCGACGTGCTCCATGCCTCGGGCGACATCGTCGCGAAGAGGCTCGCCTACGCCGGCGGCCCGAGCCTCGACGTCCAGGAGCTGCGGCCGACGGCGCGCGGCTCCGGCACGGGCCACGCGCTCTGGCCCGGAGCGATCGCGCTCTCGCTGCGGCTCCACGGCGGCGGCCTCGCCGGCGCGGCGTCCGTCGTCGAGCTCGGCTGCGGAGGGACGGCCCTCCCCGGCTGCTACGCCGCGCGCGCGCTGCCCAGCGCGCGCGTCACCCTCACGGACGGCGCCGCGGAGCTGCTGCCGGCGATCCGCGCGGCCGCCGCGCGCTGCGGCGCCGCGGCGACCGTCGCCGGCCACGCCTACGGGTCCGGCGCCGGCGGCTTCGACAGCGTCGCGGGCGCGGCCTACGCGCCGCCGGCGCCCGCGGACCTCGTGCTCGGCGCGGAGATCGCGTACCGGGCCGAGGACGCGGCCGCGCTCGCGGACGAGCTCCCGCGGCGGCTCACACCGGGCGGCCGCGCGGTGCTCTGCTCCGCCGCGCTGCGCCGGCCGCTCGCGGCGGCCGCCGCGCTGCTCCGGAGCCGGGGCCTGGGCGTCTCGGAGGAGGTCCTCGAGCTCCGCGTCGCGGCGGACGACGCGCCGCGCGAGGTCCACGCGTTCCGCTTCGTCACGGTCGTTCGGGAGTCATCTTAGTGTTGCAATGGGGGCTACTCCTGCGCCTCGGGTACCTCGGGCATGGGCTCCACGGGGTCCTTGGCCTCCTCGGGCCGCGCCGACGGCCGCGTCTTCGGCGTCACGGCGTTGGCCCGCTTCGCCTTGATGTCGCGGACGCGGCGCTGCAGGGGCGTGATCTTGCGCGCGGCGGCCCAGTCGACGAACTCGCGCGAGACCCCCAGGTCGCCCGCGCCGACGTCCACGCCCGCCGCCCTGAGCACGGCCTCCGTCCGCGGCGAGTTCTTCGCGTCGCTCGCGCGGCGCTTGCGGCCGGTCTCCTTCTTCTTCTTCTTGCGGCAGAGGCAGCGGATCGGGTTCAGCAGCGCCACGAACAGGAACATCATGAAGCCCGCGTGCAGGCCCAGCGTGCCCCAGAACGTCTTCGGGAGCGTGATGTCCGGGATGAGGAAGAAGACGCCCACGACGCAGACGAGCATCTCGTCGATGACCGCCCCCTGGACGTCCTCCTGGAGGATGATGAGGACGCCCGCGGCCACGGCGAAGACGGCCGCGTAGAGGGGCTGGCGCCAGAAGAGCGTCCGGTTCGAGATGCTCTCGATCTCCGCGGGATCCCAGCGCGCGCAGCGCGCGCGGAATTGCCGGTTCTCCTCCTTGTGGCGGCCGTCGGCGGCGAAGCTCTCGAGCGCGAGCCGCGTGCCCGTCGCCGTGTTGGAGAGCACGGCCTCGCGGCGCGCGCGGTTCCGCACGGTCGTCCGCCGGTCCCGGAGCGCCGACGACGCGTCGCGGTAGTCGATGCGGCTCGCCATGGCCGGCGCCTTGGCCGGGTGGCGGCGCAGCAACAACGCCGAGGCCCGGTCCGCGAGCGGCGTCCGGTAGGGGAAGTCGACCGTCGCCGCGGGATCGCCCTTGTGCTTCATGACGGGGCTCAGCGCGCCGGGCAGGAAGACGTTGAGCACCAAAATCTCCAGGGGCTCGAAGACGACGATGGTGATGATCTGGGCGAACATGGTCATGCGCCACCAGAGCCGCACGGCCGACGCGCCCGCGCCGGGCGTGTTCCGCACGCTCAGCGTGTACGCGAGCGTCCACCACATGAGGTAGATGGCCAGGAAGAAGAGGGCGATGGCGCAGGCGGCCTTCTGCCAGCGCTCCACGGGCTCGGCCTCCTCCTCGGCGGAGAAGTCGACCTCGTAGAGCTGGCGGTAGAGCGCGTCCTGCACCGGGTCCAGGACCTCGAGCCGCGTGAAGACGAGCATCTGCTTCTCGCAGTCTTTAGTGGTTGCGCAGTTCAGCAAGATGGGCTCCCACTCGCAGGCCTGGGCGTGGAGCCGCAGGCACGCGCGGTAGCAGGCCTTGACGAAGACGCCGTCGCCGACCTTATCGCGGCCCGGGTAGTCCGAGGCCAGCTTCCTCCGCACGCGTTTGAGCTGCCGCGCGAGCTTCTGCGACTGCTTGGCGTCGCTCGCGTCCCGGGCCGCGTCGTCGATGGCGTCGTCGAGCTCCTGGAAGCGCGCGAGCACGGCGAGCACGAAGGGCACGCACGCGGCGCGCGCCGCGTCGAACCAGTCCTCGTCCATGTTCGCCGCTCGCTTCACGCTCCCGGGCGCGAGGGGCCGCCGCGCCCGCTTGGCCAACGCGAGCTCCACGGCATCGAGGTGCCGGCCCATGGACGCCGCCAGCGCGTCGAAGTCGGCCTGCTTCGCGGCCTCGAGCGCGACCTTGGACTCGCGGATGCTCGCCGCGCCGGTCGCGGCCGCGGCCGACGCGCGGCTCGGCGCCTCGGCGTCCTTGGCGGGAGCTTCCACGAGGAGCTTCCTGCCCGACGCGCGGAGCTTCGGCGCCTGCTTCTTCTCCGGGGATGCGTCGCTCGGCGCGACGGCGGCGCCGGGCTGCCGCGTGGGCGCGAGGAGGTAGTTGTTGAAGCACCACTCGAAGAACTTGACCGTCGGCACGATGATGAACGTCGTGAGGATGACGACCTGGATCATGGACCCGTCGAGCCAGGCGCCCCCCGTGTCCGGCGGCACGTAGGTGCACTGCTCCGTGAGCAGGTTGAAGCGGCAGACCTGCTCGTCCTTCGTGTACGGGTGGCGGATGCCCTCGCAGGCGTCGGGGTCCTTGTGGAACTTGTCCTGGTCGCAGAGGCCCGTCGGGTAGGCGTAGGAGCCCCCCACGGCCTCGGCGAACATGACCGTGACCCAGTCCAGGGGCAGCAGCAAGACGCGGAGCCACCGCGGCTCGGCCTCGTCGAACCAGAGCCACGCGAGGTGGAGGTGGTTGTCGAGGATCGCGAGGTACCACTTGTAGCCCCAGTTCTCGACGACGACCTCCTCCATGGACTCCTCGACGAAGTCGTGCTGGTCGCCGAGCCGCAGCGGCGCCTCGTCCGCCGCCGGCGCGACCTCGGCGGCGTTCGCGGCGGCGTCCTTCCTGTCCGCCCAGACCGCGTAGGCCAGGAAAACGGCGGTGAGGCCGAAGATGACGGCGTAGGTGTAGACCAGCAACAGGTTCTTCGTGAAGACTTCCGGGGACAGGCCGTCGGCCATCATCGACGCGTAGTAGCCCGCGACGGCCTCGGTGCTCGCGGACATGTCGAAGGACGTCGACGGCGGGATGTAGGGGCAGACGCAGGTGATGTTGACGTCGTTGGACCGGTCGATGTCCGCGGCGCAGAGGTCCGCGTCCCAGTAGTCGAGCGACTCGTCGTACGTGAGGCACTGGTCCACGGTGTTGACGGTGCAGTTCACCGTGAGCTCGTCGTAGGTGCCCGCGCACACGAGGCTGATGGGCTCCGCGGCGCCGCTGCACGTCGCGTTCTCCCGGCCCGTCCACTTGTCGACGCCCCAGCGCTGGTCCAGGTCGCCCTCCGCGCACTGGAGGAAGTAGCTCTCGTTCGTGCCCCGCCACGAATCGAGCGCCTTGTCGCGGCGGAGGACGAAGACGTAGGACCCGTCCATGTCGAGGTTCAGGGAATTCAGGTTCCCCGCGGCGCTCGCCGACTGGCCCGAATTGCCGCCGCCGACGCCGGCCGACGAGCCCTTGGACTTGGCGAGGCGCCGCCGCGCGTCGCCGAACGCGCCCGCGCGGCTCAACCGGCGCCGCCGGCCGCCGACGGTGGCGAAGACGGCCGTGCGGATGGGCGTCGTCGTGAAGTTGAGGGACGTCGCGTTCGCGCCGGAGGAGCCGACGACGTTGGCGCCGTACTGGGCGAGCTGCATGTCCACGGCCGTCGCGTTCGCCGTCTCCTCCGCGGACGTCTGGGGCAGCGCCATCTGCGCGGCCTGGACGCCCGCGGCCATCTCCGCGGCCGTGAGCGGCGCGGCGAGGGCCTCGCCCTCGGGCGCGTCGGCGTCGAGGCGCCGGCCGCCGAGCTTCAGGTTCTCGGACACCGCCGTGACCGGCGACTCGCCCGGGACCGCGGAGAGGAGCATGGCCTCGGTGACGTCGTCCGTCGCGCTCGCCATGACCGTGCCCGTCGTCGCGTCGCCGCCGGACGACGTCGTCAGCCGGCGGCCGCTCCGCAGGTGGCGCACGGCCGTCAGCCGCCGCCGCCGGAGCGGCGTCTCGGGGCACGCGTCCGCGTCGACGTAGGACGACAGCGACGCGACGAGCGCGTCCGCCGTGCCGTCCACCAGGCCCTCCGTCGTCGCGTCGGACGCGAGCGTGAGCGTCGCCGACTGCGCGTCGCCTACGGAGCCGCTCTCGGCCATCTCGCACGGCCGCGACGTCAGCAGCCCCAGGCTCGAGCTCGCCTGGTTCGCGGCGACGGCGTCGCTGTCCTGGCCCGTCATGCCGCCGGCGAGGCCCGAGAGCAGCGTCGTCGTCAGCGACAGGCGCTCGTCGTACTCGGCCTCGTCGTACTCGCACGCGTCGCCGTACCACCCCGCGTCGCAGACGCACTTCGTCTGGCACCAGCTCGCGTCGGCCACGGTGCACGCCAGGCCCTCGGGCAGCTCCGCGTAGGCCGCGGTCTTGTCGACGAAGACGCAGAAGCCCTGGCCCGTGCAGTTCGACGCGCAGGTCAGCGGCGGGTACGCGCATAAACCGGAATCGCAGTAGCCGCTGTCGCAGTCCTCGTCGCCGAAGCAGGCCTCGTCGACCGCGCAGGGCGCGCAGTCGCGGCCGCAGGTCGCGCCCTTCGTCGAGCAGGTCGCCGTCGCCGACCGGCAGGCGAAGGTCGACGGCGCCGCGGAGCCGACCGTGCCCGCGAGGCACGCGCCGCACGAGTCGGGCGCCGCGGCGCTGCAGACCTCGCGGCCGTAGTCCGCGCAGTCCAGGGAGCAGTTCGCCTTGCCCAGCAGCGTCCCCGCGGAGTTGAGCGTCTGGTAGACGGCCTCCGTGTTGCCTGTGTCGAACGCCGCGTAGAGCAGGGAATCCGTGAGGTTCGCGAGCTGCGCCGTCGTGAGCTCGCGCGTCTCGACGACGGCCGTCGCCGACGCCCTCGCCTTGGCGCCGTACTGGTCGACGACGTAGGCGATGGCGACGACCTCGCGCGCGAGGTCCGTGCCCGCGGGCAGCAACGCGTCGTACGACAAGGACAGGCCCGTCTTCAGCTGGAACTCGACGCCGCCGGCCTGCGTCGCGTAGTAGAACTCGTAGGACAAGGGCAGGTCGTCGGCGTCGTCGACCCAGCCGCTCGCCGTCAGCGCGAAGACCGTCTCGAGCGTGTAGCCGCTCGCGGGCGCGACGGCCAGGGCGCCGGACGTGGGCTTCGCGTTCGCCAGGAGGTCCACGCGCGCGTAGCCCTGGAGGTTCGCGCCCGGCGTGCGGTCGTAGGCGACGAGGCGGAAGGCGTAGGACGCGCCGGGCGTCAGCGCGTCGGGCAGGAGCTTGAGGTAGCGCGCCGACGGCGTGTTCGCGGCGACGGCGATGCCCGTCGTCGGCGTCGACGCCGCGTCCGCGAGACTCGACGCCGTCGCGAGGTCGCCGGAGACGAGGACCCACTCGCAGTCGAGGGCGTTGACGTGGGACAGGCCCCCGACGAGCGTCACGGCCTCCGACGGGTTCACCTTGGGCGTCTGCACGAGCAACCGCGCGCCCACCGTCGGCAGCGACGCGACGTTGACGACCTGGACGACGGCCGCGGCCGTGTCGTTGCGCGCGGGGTTGCCCGACGCGCTCACGAAGACCGCGAAGGTGTGCTTCCGCCCCGCGGCCAGCGTCGCCGCGTCGACGGTGAAGCTCGCGGCCGTGCTCACGACGGTGCCGTTCGTCGTCCACGCGTAGTCCAAACCGACGCCCGCCGCCGTCTGGTCCGGGTCCCGCGACGGCGACGCGTCCAGCGTGAAGACCTCGGCGTTGCCCACGGCGAACTCGCCGTTGTCGACCGCGGCCTCGACGGGCGACTCGCCGACGCGGACGATGACGGACGCGCTGTTGTTCCGTCCGGCGACGTCGGCGACCGTCACGTCCAGCGCGTAGTCCGTCGCGGCGGACAGGGCGTAGGCGTCGAGGCGGAAGCGCCGCGGGTCCACGGACGTGCTCTGGACGCCCGGGAAGCCCGCGAGCGACCACGCGTACGTTAACCCGTTCGTCGACAGCGCCTGGCCGTCGCAGCCGGACACGGACGCCGCGGCGACGATCTCGAGCCGCTTGTAGCTCGCGTGCTTCTGGCTGCCGCCGCCGACGATGACGACCTCGGGGATCGCCGCGGACGACACGGACACGAGCGCCGCGGCGTCGTCGCTGCCCGTGCCGGCGAGGTAGTTCGTCAGCGACAGGCCGAAGCGCACGGACGTGTCCGCGACGCCCGCGAGGGCCTCCGCGGGCACCTCCAAGAGCGTGCTCCCCGCCGCGCCGGCGACGGCGTCGAGCATGGCCGTCTTGTTCTCGTCGCTCAACGTGTTATCGAGGAACTGTACGCTCCAGGTCACGTCCGTGAAGTCGCGGCCGCCGGAGCCCGACGACATGGCCGCGTCGACCTCGAGGCCGCCGCAGACGCCCACGGACCGCGGCGCCTCGACCACCACCTCCGGGATCAGCGGCTCGTCCGGCGGCGCGATCGTAACACTCGTCGCCGCCGCCGCGGGCCAGCACTCGCAGTACCACGGGTCGTCCTCGTAGGGGCAGGCGGCGCGGATCTCCTCCCAGACGAGCGTCGCCGCGTCCCCCGGGAGCACGGTGGCGCCGTTCTCGAGCGTCGCGACGACGACGCTCGCCGTCTGCCACTCGCAGGACGCGTCGGCCGCGCCGGGGAAGTCGACGAGCTCGTCGCAGGGCACCTCGCCCTCGAGCCACCCAAAGTCCGTGTCCTTGTCGAACGCGACGAGGAGCTGGCCGCCCGTGCCGGAGAATTTCGCGGACGTGAGCACGGGCGCGGCGCCCAGCGACTCGTCACACGACGTCACCTCGGGGAAGTAGTAGAAGTCGTCGTCGAAGAAGTCGTAGGCGAAGTCGTCGTAGACGTACTCGTAGCCGAAGTCGTCGCCGCCGTAGAAGTCGTCGCCGCCGTAGCCGTAGCCCTCGTAGCCGTAGTCGCCGCCGTAGCCGTATTCTCCTCCGTAGCCGTAGCCGTCTCCGCCATAGCCGTATTCTCCTCCGTAGCCGTAGCCATCGCCGCCGTAGCCGTAGCCGTAGCCGTCGCCGCCGTAGCCGTATTCTCCTCCGTAGCCGTAGCCGTCGCCGCCATAGCCGTAGCCGTCGCCGCCGTAGCCGTAGCCGCCGCCGCCGTAGCCGTAGCCGTCGCCGCCGTAGCCGTAGCCATCGCCGCCGTAGCCGTAGCCGCCGCCGCCGTAGCCGTAGCCGTCGCCGCCGTAGCCGTAGCCATCGCCGCCGTAGCCGTAGCCGTCGCCGCCGTAGCCGTAGCCGCCTCCGTCGTCACCGCCGCCGTAGCCGTAGCCCCCTCCGTCGTCACCGCCGCCGTAGCCGTAGCCCCCTCCGTCGTCACCGCCGCCGTAGCCGTAGCCGCCTCCGTCGTCACCGCCGCCGTAGCCGTAGCCGCCTCCGTCGTCACCGCCGCCGTAGCCGTAGCCGCCTCCGTCGTCGGCGCCGCCGCCGTAGCTGCCGCCATCGTCCGAGCCGCCGCCGTAGCTGCCACCGTCGTCCGAGCCGCCGCCGTAGCTGCCACCGTCGTCCGAGCCGCCGCCGTAGCTGCCACCGTCGTCCGAGCCGCCGCCATAGCTGCCGCCGTCGTCCGAGCCGCCGCCATAGCTGCCACCACCGTCGTCGTTTGCGACGACGCTGCCGCCATCATCGCCCGCGCTGCCGCCGTCGTCGTTCGACGAATAGCTCGTGCCGCCATCGTCGTTCGACGCGCTTCCGCCGTCGTCGTTCGACGAATAGCTCGTACCGCCGTCGTCGTTCGAGGCGCTGCCGCCGTCGTCGTTCGAGGCGCTGCCGCCGTCGTCGTTCGACGAATAGCTCGTGCCGCCGTCGTCGTTCGAAGCACTGGATCCGTCGTCGTTCGAGGCGCTGCCGCCGTCGTCGTTCGAGGCGCTGGAGCCGTCGTCGTTCGATGCGCTGCCGCCGTCGTCGTTCGAGGCGCTGGAGCCGTCGTCGTTCGACGAATAGCTCGTGCCGCCGTCGTCGTTCGACGAATAGCTCGTGCCGCCGTCGTCGTTCGACGAATAGCTCGTGCCGCCGTCGTCGCTCGCACCGTACCCATAGCCGTAGTCCTCGAGGCGCCGCTCTAGAGCTGCCCATTTCGCGAGGCGCCGCTCCTCTGTCCTCTGCGTCAACGAGCGCGTGCTCGTCGCGGCACCGACGTAGCATAGCAGGAGGACCAAGGCTGCCGCCATGGCCGGCTGCCCAACTCCAAGAGCGGGGCAGCGCGTCGTCGACGCGCAACTCCCTCTCTGATCTCGCCGGACTGCAAAAAAGCAAGGGGATCTGTATCTAGACTGGGGTGGGTGCTTCACGGGACTGGGCCACGGGAGCTGTGTCCGTCGTTTCTTTCGAAGCAGCCCATTTTGGGACGGCCGTCCATGGGGCTCCCCGGGGCCGGCGCCTGGCGCGGCGCGTCGCCCCCGGTCCCTGGACGAACCTGGCGAAGCCGCTTCGCTGCGGGCGTCGATGCGGCGACGCACGGGCTGCGTCCGTCTCCTCGAAATCGGTTCTGGCGGTCCACGGTCGCGGCAGGTGCGGGCCTCGTTCCGCTTTTCGCCGTCCGCCCATCCCAACCCCTTCCCCCGGGGCCTCCGCGAAAAAACGGAACGAGGCGACCTATTGCTGGCGCAGCAGACGTTCGGGCTCCGGACCGCGGCGCGGCGCCGGTTCTTGAGAGGAGGCCAGATCAACGACTTCTGACTCTGTGGTCAGACCCGCGCAACCGGAGGCGCGTGGGGTGTCTATGAACGATCTCCGACGCTGAGCTGCGCCCGGGAGCGCCAGAAACGGGTCTGGAGGGGGCCGAACTACCCATTTTACCCCTCAAAACGACTCGTTCTCAGCTCCACGCAATCGGTTTCGCGTCGCGTCTCTTCCGACGGACAGACCTCGTTCGTCCCCCCGAGAGTCGCCTTGGGGGCCATGCACGCTAGGGTCGTCGTGCGGCGCTATGGGGCTGCAAGTGGTGATTTCACGCCCATCGCAGCCCATGAGACGCCCACGGCGCTTTCGTCCGTAGCCACGAAATCTGGAGTAACTTGGTTTATTGAGCGTCGAACCGGACAGAGCTCGCGCGGCCGTCAATCGTTTAGTTGCATCCCCAGGCTTAATAGAGTTCCCCTTGAAAAAAGCCAAGACTTTCAATTTGACCCTCAACGGTACTAGAAGTACGCTCTTGGTGATTGTTTTACCTCATGTGCGGCGCGCGTGGCGCGAAGCGTGGCGGTGCGGCCGCGTCGGCGGGCTCGTGTCGGCGGGCACGGGGGGAGGACCCCCGAGACGCCCGTGGGGTGTCGGCCCCGGGCCGGCGGGGGCTCTCGCGAGCCCCCGGGTCCGGCCCGGGGCGTCATTGTCCGATCGGGAGCGTCGCCGGCGCGGCTGCGGTGCGTCTTCTCATCGCCGCCGCGGCCGCGGCGAGGCGCTTAGAGCTTCGGGAGGACGTTCTCCACGAGCGACGCGCTCGGGTCGTCGTCGCCGGCGGGGTCGCCCTTGGCGTAGCTCACGTAGAGCTGCTCGAGCGTGCCGTCGTTGAAGACGGCGGCGTAGCGCTTCGAGCGCACGTAGCCGAGCTGGGGCGGCACCTCGTCCGCGGGCATCGCGAGGCCCATGGCCTCGGTGAACTTGCAGCCGGGGTCCGCGAGCATGGTCACGAGGCTCTTGGGCTTGACGTTCATCTTGTCGGACCAGGCCTCCATGACCGCCGCGTCGTTGACGCAGTAGACGAGGATCTCGTCGATTCCCTTGGCCTTGAGCTCGTCCTCCTTGCTCATGTACCCGGGAACCTGCGAGCGACCGCGGCTCGGTTTCGACGCGCGCGGGAGGCGCAAACGACGCGACGCGGCGAAGGCGCGCCTGCGCGCCGGTTCAGGTCGGCGTGAACGCCCCGGGGAGGCCCAGGACGATCGTTTTTTTGCCGGCGAGGCGCGCGGGCACGTCGATCGTGTCGAAGGGGAACTCCTTCACGAGGACCGTGTCGGCGGGCACCGAATCGCCGACGGCGATGTTGGTCACCGTCGTCGCGCGCGCGCCGGAGCGCGACGGCGCGAAGGCCGAGGCAGCGGGGAGGAGCGCTAGCGCGAGGGCGAGCTTCATCACGAGAGCTGGCGTGTCCACACCGAGCTTCAATGCGACGAGCCACTGAGTAGTTCGGCACCATGAAGTGTTGCAGCTATGGGGGCCGGATTACCGGGTAATGCCCGGGAGGCCTCGGTAATTACCGGTAATTACCGGGTAATTACCGCAGAAGGGTAATTACCCGGTAATCAGGGCGTCCGCGGACGGCTAGAGGCGGTATGGCGGCTCGAAAGGACCACCGCGAACCCGCGTGTCGACCGAATTCTCTTTTAGGTGGCTTCCACGCGACAACGCCGGCGGCGCGCTACGGCGTGGGGGGCGTCGCCCGGCGCGCCCGTCGCGACGTCGCGACGAGCAGCCGCTCGGTCGCGGTTTCGCGCCGCGCGTCGACCGCGATGCGAAACACGACCGCGACGGGCCGCGACGCTCGGATCGTCAGCCACGTGTACTAGCGGACCGCGGCCTGTACGCGGATTACCCGGTATCGAATTATGGCACCGGGTAATTACCGGTAATTACCGGTAATTACCATTACCGGTAATATACCGCCAAATTACTCCGGCGGCTATAGTTGCAGCCGAAGAAGACGCGACGCGCGCGCCGTCGCGCGCGGCCGGAGCTCGTGGTCGTGGTTTGCGTACGGTCTCGCCAGGCAGCCGCCGCGGCAACGCGCCCGCGCCGTGGTTGGTTGGCTGCTGCAAGCTGCCGCTCGCGCCGCCGAAGGCGCCGCTGGGTGGAAAGGGAAGACCTGCCCCCCAGGACTACAGAGACAAAGGCCCATGTTATTGTTTCCGACGACAGCAAGATTCTTGAGCTTGTTGTAGGCCTTGTTGACCGGCACGTGCTCCACGTAGTCATATATGTGGGCGACATCATCCATGGACGCCGCCATGTTAGGTCATGTTGATGACCTCGAGCCTTCTGCTCAGAGGCTCCCTCACTCGTTTCACAATAGCATGCGTCTCCATGTCCAACCAGCTCGAGACCATCTTCATGCCCATGTTCCAGAAGGCGTTCGAGGCGCGGTCGGAGGGCGAGACGCAGTGTCCCTCGTCGCGCCGCGCGCACGGCCTCGTCGGCCGCGGCCCGCAGCGCCGCGTCGCGCTCGCCGATGACGCGGCCATCGCCGACGCCTCCGTCGCGCCAGGCCCAGGCCTTCGCCGCGCAGCATGGCACCTGCTTTACGCAGCATGCCCTAGCCGCCGCGGCCTGGCCGCGACGCGACGAGACGACGGGCCGCCAAACCCCGGCCACATCCAGCTCTGGAGCCAGCACAGGCGTGATGATGACGATCCCGCACCGCCTCGCGCTGGCCGCGCTGCTAGCGACGGCCGCGGCCCTCGTGGGCCCGCGCATCACCACGCGCACAGTCGCACACACGCGCCGCGGCGTCGTCGTGCAGCTCTTCGACAAGTTCGACGCCGAGGCCGTCAATGTCTTGATGTACGCCCAGCAGGAGACGCGCAAGGCCGGGCTGTCCGAGGTGGGCACGGAGCAGGTCCTGCTGGGCGTGCTGCAGTGCCCCGAGAACGCCAAGGCCGCCCTGGAGGACGCCGGCGCGACGCTCGAGGGCGCGCGCGCGCAGATCGGCGGAAAAAAGGGCGGCGTCGTCGGCGACGTCGCGGAGCTGTTCCGGCGCGAGGAGGAGCCCCTGCCCTTCACGGGGCGGTCCAAGGCGGCGTTCAAGGTCGCCGTGGAGGAGGCCGCGGCGCTCAAGACCGAGGAGGTGCGCAGCGAGCACCTGCTGCTCGCGCTGCTCCGCGACGCCGACTCCGAGGCCGTCGTCGTGCTCAACAACATGGACATCGACGTGCCCGCGCTCGCCAAGCAGGTCGAGAAGGACGCGAAGCGCGCCAAGGGCGAGCTCGTGGGCGTCGGCGGCGGCGACGACAAGCCGACGACGCTCGCGTCGTGCGGCGTCGACTTGACGGAGTTGGCGCGCAACGGCGAGCTCGACCCCATGATCGGGCGCCAGGACGTCGTCAAGCGGGTCGTGCAGATCCTGTTGCGGCGGCGCAAGTCGAACCCCTGCCTCGTGGGCGACCCGGGCGTCGGCAAGACGGCCATCGCGGAGGGCCTCGCGCAGCGCATCGCCGACGGCGACGTGCCCAAGAAGCTGCTGGGCAAGCGCGTGCACACGCTCGAGATGGCCATGCTCGTCGCCGGCACCAAGTACCGCGGCGAGTTCGAGGAGCGCCTCCAGTCCGTCATCGCCGAGGCGACGGAGGAGGGCGACACGATCCTCTTCATCGACGAACTGCATACCTTAGTCGGCGCGGGCGCGGCGGACGGCGCCATCGACGCGGGCAACATCCTCAAGCCGGCCCTGGCTCGGAGCGGGCTCCAGGTCATGGGCGCGACGACGGTCGGCGAGTACCGCAAGCACGTCGAGAAGGACCCGGCGCTGGAGCGGCGGTTCCAGCCGGTGGACGTCGCGGAGCCGTCCGTCGAGGAGACCGTGGAGATCCTCGAGGGCCTGCGCGAGGACTACCAGGACTTCCACGACGTCACCTACAGCGACCTCGCCCTCGCGGCGGCGGCGACCTACGGCGACCGCTACGTCAACGACCGCTTCCTCCCGGACAAGGCCATCGACCTGCTCGACGAGGCCGGCGCGCGCGCGCAGGTCCGCGCGGAGGAGGAGCAGCTCGCCGAGAGCGTCGTGAGCGAGGACGACGTCGCCGACGTCGTGTCGACGTGGACGGGCATCCCCGTCGCGAAGCTGTCGCGGCCCGAGGCGCAGAAGCTCATGGAGCTCGAGTCGGAGCTCCACGCGGACCTCGTGGGCCAGGACGCGGCCGTCGCCGCCGTGTCCCGCGCCGTGCGCCGCGCGCGCGTGGGCATGCGCGCGGAGAACAAGCCCGTCGCGTCCTTTGTGTTCGCGGGGCCCACGGGCGTCGGCAAGACGTTCGTCGCGAAGACGCTCGCGAAGACGTACTTTGGCGCGGAGTCGAACATGGTGCGCTTCGACATGAGCGAGTTCATGGAGCGCCACACCGTGTCCCGGCTGCTGGGGTCGCCGCCGGGCTACGTCGGCTTCGACGACGGCGGCCAGCTGACGAACGCGATCCGCCGCAACGGCCACACGGTGCTCCTCTTCGACGAGATCGAGAAGGCCCACCCGGACGTCTACAACATCATGCTCGGCATCTTAGACGACGGGCGGCTCACCGACGCCCAGGGCCGGACCGTCGACTTCTCGAACTGCATCGTCATCTTCACGTCGAACGTCGGGAGCCAGGCCGTCATCGACACGCTGCGGGGCGCCGAGGGCGAGCCGAGCGCGGAGATGCGAAACGCCATCAAGGTCGACGTCAACGACGCGCTGGCGTCGAACTTCCGCCCGGAGTTCCTCAACCGCCTCGACGAGATCGTCGTCTTCGACTCGCTCCTCCGGTCGCAGCTCGGGGAGATCCTCGACGGCATGCTCCGCGAGGTCGACGCGCGCGCGGCGGACAACGACCTGCAGCTCAGCGTCTCCGACGCCCTCAAGGACGCCATCATCGAGAGCGGCGCCGCCGACGCGCGCTACGGCGCGCGGCCCCTCCGCCGCGCGGTGCAGCGCTACCTCGAGGACGTCGTCGCCGAGGCTGTGCTCTCGGGCGGCGCGGACGAGACGAAACCCATCGCCTTCGACTACGACGCCAAAACCAAGGCCGTCGTCGCCACGCAGGGGCGAAAGCGGGTCTACGAAGCCGTCGTCGACAGCGCCAACTTCGGCGGCATCGAGGCGGGCGCCGACGCCGCGAAGGCGCTCGAGGGCGCCGCCGCCGCGACGGCCGCGGAGTTCTTCGCCGCGCCGCCGCCCGACGAGGACCTCGTCCTCGCCGACGTCCCGTCCCGCGGCGGCAAGTCCCGCGCCTAGGCGGGGGCCGGGTTAGAGGAGGTCGTGCACCCGCGCGTCCACGGGTGTTGACTACACCTTGCATGCATCTTCCTCTTGTCCTCGCTTCGAGCGCTTCGAGAGGTCGAGGCACCATTTGCGATGCGCGCGCTGTTCACGCTCGCTGCGCTCGGCGCGGCATGCGCCGCCGAGCTGCCGAAGATCGCCTACCTCATCGTCGCGCACGACGAGGCGACCCTGCGGTCCGCGAGCCTGCTGCTCGACGCCATCTACGACCCGGAGAACCTCTACCTCGTCCACGTCGACGCCAAGCACGCGTGGACGACGACGAAAGACGAGGCCATGAAGCCCTTCACGAAGAACCGGTCCAACGTCCAGTGGGCGCAGAGGACGGACGTGCGCTGGGGCCGCTGGTCCATGAACGAGCCCACGCTCTGGGGCATGCGCGAGGCGCTGCGCTCGCCGGTCGACTGGGACGTCTTCATCAACCTCTCCGGCGACACCTGGCCCGTGCTCACGCCGCTCTCGACGCGCAAGACGCTCGCGGCCATCAAGCACCTCAACTTCATGACGAGCGCGCCGAGCTGCCCGACGGGCCTCCGGCCGACGGGACGGCAGGAGTTCGGCGACGGCTGGCACAAGAAGCAGGCCTACCCCCACCCCATGCTCGCGGACGTGCCGGAACTGGAGGCCTTCTACGGGTCCCAGTGGATGATCCTGAGCCGCGCCTTCGCGCGGCACGTCGTCGACGAGCTCGACGCGCCCGGCACCGTCGCGCGCGAGCCCGCGTGGAAATCAACTCTTCAACCCGACTTCAGTGTTTGCGACGGTCTCGACGCGAGCTCTTTTGCTGTGCTTCGAGAACTGGATGAGAGCAATCGATTTGTCCAAAAATCAGCCGAATCGACTTCGAATTGACCGAGAGTTCTGAAAAGTTTGGCGGGGCCCCCCCAGACCGGTCGTTGATTTCCACGCAGGAACAAGCTCCGCGAGTGGTTCGTGAACGGCACGGTCGTCGTCGAGGGCGTGGGCCGCGTCAAGCCCCACATCCCGGACGAGACGTTCTTCCCCTCGGTCTTGATGGCGTCGCCCTTCCGCGACTCGGGCGCGCCGAAGCCCGTGGAGTTCTACGACGACGCGACGGGCGGAGGCGGCCGCGTCGCGATGCGCGCGTCGTTCTACGTGCGCATGGACGAGCACTACCCCTGGTCCTCGGGCAAGCAGCGCTACCGCGCGCCGGCGCTGGACAAGAAGGAGCGGCCCTGGGGGCCCTACTACCTCGGCGCGTACGACCTCGGCGACGTCCGGGACCGCCGCGCGCTCTTCGTCCGGAAGACGTCCCGGGACGTCGACGCCAACGTCTTCGCGCTCCTGCCCGTCGACGACTTCGCCCAGATCCCCGCGCTCTACTGGCCCGAGGGCGGCGGCCTGAGCATGTCCAAGCCCCAGGCCTACGCGACCGTCTCCCGCGGCGACGAGGACGGCTGCGTCCGCGTCGCCGAGTCGATCCACTGCCCGCCGGTCCACAACCTCGGGGCCGACGTCCACGAGGCCGCGCGCCTCGTGGGGGAGCTGTAACGTGTGTGTGCGCCGTCCTCCGACGTCAGGCTGACGTCGCGCGGCGCGCGCGAGGAGCGTGCCTCTTCAAGTTCAACACGATCCTCACGAAACGAGTGCGCACGGCAACGTCTCAGAGCCACAAGTGATCGCGCGCCGCCGGCGTCCCGCGACCGCCGCCCGCCGTGAACATATCACACCATGAAGCCCCCCCGAGAGCCGCGGGGTGCGACTTTCGAGCGCCCCGGCGTCGTCGCCCGGTCGGCGGGCCGGCGGCGGTCGCACCAACTGGGGTCCAGGCGACGCTTATCGTCCGTCGGCGCCCCCCTCGGAACCCCGACGCGCAGACCCCGCTCGCAGGTGTTCCCGCGCGCCTAGCATTCATTCTCACCATGCGCTTGGCCGTCGTCATCGTCGTCGGCCTCGGCCTCGCCGCCGCGAGGCCGTGCGCCGAGATCACGCGGCGAAAGAAGTGCAAAAAGAAGTCGCACCGCTGCGAATGGGACAAAAAGAAGAAGACCTGCGGCATCTCGTGCTCCGAGCTGTCCAAGGGCAAGTGCAAGAAGACCGACGGCTGCGACTACAAGAAGAAGCAGTGCAGCGCCGCCGAGATCGCGGCCGAGACCCTCGATGCCCTCGGCGACGCACCCTTCACCGTCGTCGGGGCCGTCGACTTCGCGGGTCTGACGGCCGCCGAGGCCGCCGAGGACGCGAACGCGGCGGTCCTGCTGGCCGGCTTCGAGGCGTGGGCCTGGAGCGCGGCGCTCGTCGCCATCGACATCGCGCCGACGACAAAAAAGAGGAAGAAGAAATTTACGGTGACCTACGCCGCCGCGGCGGACACGGCCCAAGGCGCTTCTGACCTCGCCACGATTCTGACGACGGGCTCGGACCACATCGTCATGGACCACGTCCTGAGCGCCACGGACTCGTCGTCCGCGTCGGGCTTCTCCGAGCTCAAGGTCGTGGCGTCGGAGCCGCCGTCGGTGTCCGTCGGCGACGAAGCCGGCGCGGTGACCGAGGGCGGCGCCGACTTCGAGGCCCCCCCCTGCGAGGACTCGGACCACTTCCGGCTCTCGGGGGACGAGTGCGCCGCCGTCGCGTCCGAGGGCCTGTGCGACGCCGAGGGCTCCGAGCGCGTCGCCGTCGCCTGCGCGAAGGCCTGCGGCCCCAACCACAACGACTTCCACGACTCGGTGACGTTCTCGTTCACGCACAAGAAGAAGCAGCGCGACTGCGCGTGGCTCGCCAAGAACAAGTGGAAGCGCAAGTGGGGCAGGATGTGCGGCTGGCACAAGGACAAGCGGGGCGCGGAGGTAGCGTCGGTCGCCTGCGCCGCATCCTGCGGCGCGTGCGCCGCGAGCGGCGCGACGACGACGGCGGCGGCGACGACGACGGCGGCGGCCGAAGGCGACGACGCGAACGCGGGCACGCCCTGCGACGACGCCAAGGGCAAGGGCTACTACGCGATCAAGGACGGGAGGCTCGTCGTCGACTTCGGGGGCAACCCCGAGGGCAAGGGCGTCCCGACGACGGGCTGCAAGGGCACGGTGCGCGGCGGCCTGCGCGTCGGCTTCGACCCGGACGGCGTCTTCGACGACGTCTCCGGCGACTTCGACATGGGCGACGTGACGGGGTTCACGGGCTCCGTGACGGTGCAGAACCTCCAAGGCACGTCGACGGCGGGCTTCGAGCGGCTCGAGCACGTCGGTCTGCATCTGACCTTCGAGGACAGCCCGGAGCACGCGGACCTGCGGGGCTTCGACGCCGTGACCTTCGTCGGCGGCAACGTCGTCATCTCCGACAACGCCAAGTTGGAGAGCATCGGCCTCGGCAAGCTCGAGCACTTCAGGCCGAACCCCGTCGGCGACAAGGTCGGCGGCGACGTCACCATATCGCGCAACCCGAGCCTCGCGACGCTCGGCGCGGCGTCGTTCGCGTCGCTGACGGAGGCGGGCTACATCTACGTCGCGGAGAACGACAAGTTGGAGACCATGGACGCCTTCAAGGCCCTCGCCTCGGTCATGAACGTCAACATCAACCACAACGCCGCGCTCGTCCGCGTCGACGGCTTCGACGAGCTCAAGGTCGTCGACGGCGAGGCGGTCTACGGCGAGGGCCAGGGCCACCTGCGTTTGGACTACAACGACGCGCTCGAGCACATCGGCGGCTTCGGCAAGCTCGAGACCATCGCGGACTTCCTCGGCGTCGTCTGCAACGACGCGATGAAGACGATCACGGGCTTCGGGAGCCTCCACAGCATCTTCGACGAGCTCGACGTCTTCGTCTGCGCGTCGACGAACCAGTGGGAGGATGTTTCCGGGTTGTCGAGGCTCGCGCACGTGACCAACGGCTGCGAGGCGGACCAGATCGTGCTGGACGCGGCGCCCGGCTGCTAGAGATAATCAGCCGCGCGCGGCGTCGAACACCCCACCATCCCCCCCCCCCCCCCCTGTCGTCTAAGCTCGTATCGGGAGCCGCGAGGTCATGA